AGGGCCGGGGTGCGAACAGGAGGCGGCAGTAGTTCGAGTGAGGAGCAAAGCAGTGGAAGAGAGGTCGGGCAAGGATGAGGAGTTAAGTAGCAGGTAGCTACGGGGGGTTAACCCAAGGGCATTTGGGTGGAAACGAAATGAGGGAAGACGTTAAAACAAAACGGTGAAGCAGCGGGAAGGAATGAGGGGGTGAGCAGGGAAAGTTTGTGTTGGGGAAACGGAAACGTGATCGGTAGACAGTCGCGTCCACCCAAGAAGCCAGGAGTGAGGGAATGGCACACTCAGAAGGTGGACATTACCCATTGTATGGCTCCAGATGGCTCAATACAGCACATACAGTGAGGGAAAAAAAGTATTTGATCCCCTGCTGATTTTGTACGTTTGCCCACTGACAAAGAAATGATCAGTCTATCATTTTAATCGTAGGTTTATTTGAACAGTGAGAGAAAGAATAACAACAAGAAATCCAGAAAAACGCATGTCAAAAATGTTATAAATTGATTTGCATTTTAATGAGGGAAATAAGTATTTGACTTTTTCTCAATCAGAAAGATTTCTGGCTCCCAGGTGTCTTTTATACAGGTAACGAGCTGAGATTAGGAGCACACACTTAACGGGAGTGCTCCAAATCTCAGCTTGTTACCTGTATAAAAGACACCTGTCCACAGAATCAATCAATCAATCAGATTCCAAACTCTCCACCATGGCCAAGACTAAAGAGCTCTCCAAGGATGTCAGGGAGAAGATTGTAGACCTACACAAGGCTGGAATGGGCTACAAGACTTGCCAAGCAGCTTGGTGAGAAGGTGACAACAATTGGTGCGATTATTCGCAAATAGAAACACAAAATAACTGTCAGTCTCCCTCGGCCTGGGGCTCCATGCAAGATCTCACCTCGTGGAGTCGCAATGATCATGAGAAGGGTGAGGAATCAGCCCAGAACTACACGGGAGGATCTTGTCAATGATCTCAAGGCAGCTGGGACCATAATCACCAAGAAAACAATTGGTAACACACTATACCGTGACGGACTGAAATCCTGCAGCGCCCGCAAGGTCCCCCTGCAAGGTCCCCCTGCTCAAGAAAGCACATATACATGCCCGTCTGAAGTTTGTCAATGAACATCTGAATAATTCAGAGGACAGCTGGGTGAAAGTGTTGTGGTCAGATGAGACCAAAATGGAGATATTTGGCATCAACTCAACTCGCCGTGTTTGGAGGAGGAGGAATGCTGCCTATGACCCCAAGAACACCATCTCCACCGTCAATCATGGAGGTGGAAACATTATGCTTTGGGGGTGTTTTTCTGCTAAGGGGACAGGACAACTTCACCGCATCAAAGGGACGATGGACGGGGCCATGTACCGTCAAATCTTGGGTGAGAACCTCCTTCCCTCAGCCAGGGCATTGAAAATGGGTCATGGATGGGTATTCCAGCATGACAATGACCCAAAACACACGGCCAAGGCAACAAAGGAGTGGCTCAAGAAGAAGCACATTAAGGTCCTGGAGTGGCCTAGCCAGTCTCCAGATCTTAATCCGATAGAAAATCTGTGGAGGGAGCTGATGGTTCGAGTTGCCAAACGTCAGCCTCGAAACCTTAATGACTTGGATAAGATCTGCAAAGAGGAGTGGGACAAAATCTCTCCTGAGATGTGTGCAAACCTGGTGGCCAACTACAAGAAACGTCTGACCTCTGTGATTGCCAACAAGGGTTTTGCCACCAAGTACTAAGTCATGTTTTACAGAGGGGTCAAATACTTATTTCCCTCATTAAAATGCAAATCAATTTATAACATTTTTGACATGCGTTTTTCTGGATTTTTGTTGTTATTCTGTCTCTCACTGTTCAAATAAACCTACCATTACAATTTTCGACTGATCATTTCTTTGTCAGTGGGCAAACGTACAAAATCAGCAGGGGATCAAATACTTTTTTCCCTTACTGTACAATATTATAACGATTTATCGTAAGTCTGGCAGGATACAACATCAAAAGAATAAAAAAACGTATCGTGACTTATATTTAGTAACTCGCTTACCATTGCCTCAAATTTTAGTTTCACTCCTAAAAGAGCCTCATTACTCACCGGATTCCTCCCGCGGGTCTACGTGAAGCAATTCCGAAACGTGGTTGCCATAGTAACTGGATCGTAACCGGGACCACCTCCTCCTGTAAACGAGCCGTCGCTAAGGACCAAGGTCATGAACTCGCACCGCTCCAGCCAATCAGCTGCCGGGAAGACGAACCCCGGCCCCCAGCCCCAGGTGTGTAGGCGCCACGTGCTGCCCGACCGGCCTGCGGTGTCGCGCATCACCTCGCCACTTTGTTTCAGAGTCACTAAAAGCGCCTCTGTTTTAACGTCTTTCTCTCGCTTTGGTGGCTTTCAATAGTCTTTCTCAGCTCTTCTTTCCTTGGTCGATGTTGAACTATTTCCGCCTTGCCATGCATAGCGCTATTGAGAACGAGTGTTGAAAGACATTTTTACAAATAAAAAAAATATGATTATCCTATGCTGCGCGCGAGTTGACATTGCCCGTCGAGTTTATTGCGGACGAGAGAATTATAGTCCCAAAAAAAAAGCTCCCGCCACTTCACCTTGGCCACCGACTGCGAATGAAGAAGAAGAAGGGCTCTTCTTGGTGGCAGGCGAAAGCCGAGGTCTCACTCGGAGTGGCGTGTTGCGCCAATTGACTCCGTCACGCTGCTGTGGCCAAGCTGCCTGGGCAGAGTCGCTCCCACAAGTCACTCCCAAAGCTGTCAACCCATGCGGCGATACCCCGTGTTGCTGTACAGGGGAATTGATTGTTTCAGGTCCATACGGCGTTTACAGCCGTTTCAATACGGGCAACAACACGAAAACATTTGTCTGTGTTTCTCCCTTGTGATGGGACTTTGTAGGATGAACGTCGAGATTTATAAGGGGCTCGGGGTGACCAATAAGGTCCGAAATGGTCTGTAATAAGGCAGGGCACTGATAAGGATGTTGACAGCTATGGGGACGTCCATAAATGACGTCACGCGATTTAGGACGATTTTTGACCCCCCCCTAGTCACACGGCGTCACTAAAAGTCAGACCCCCCTCTCAAATATGACGTCACAAAACTCTGCACCCCCCCAAAAAAAATAAAACAGTCACAAATGTCTGCCCCCCCCACCTTGACAACCACCATGAGATTTGTCTTCAACAACGGTGTAACAAGAACACAAACACTTATGTAACGTTGTGCTTAGGCAAAAGGAGCGGCGAGATATAATAATAATATCAAACCATGGGGCCAGCACCCTGACCCATTTCTGCACCTCCCTGGGCTGACAATGTAAGTCTCTACGCCACTGATAATGTCGTCACTACGCCACTGATAACGTCATCACTACGTCACTGATAACGTCATCACTACGCCACTGACAATGTAAGTCTCTACGCCACTGATAATGTCGTCACTACGCCACTAATAACGTCGTCTCTACGTCACTGATAACGTCCTCTCTACGTCACTGATAACGTCATCACTACGCCACTGACAATGTAAGTCTCTACGCCACTGATAATGTCGTCACTACACCACTGATAACGTCATCACTACGCCACTGATAATGTCACTACGCCACTGATAACGTCGTCACTACGCCACTGATAACGTCGTCTCTACGCCACTGATAACGTCGTCTCTACGCCACTGACAATGTAAGTCTCTACGCCACTGATAACGTCACTACGCCACTGATAACGTCGTCTCTACGCCACTGATAATGTAGTCTCTACGCCACTGATAACGTCACTACGCCACTGATAACGTCATCACCACGCCACTGATAACGTCGTCACTACGCCACTGATAATGTAGTCTCTACGCCACTGATAACGTCGTCACTACGCCACTGATAACGTCATCACCATGCCACTGATAACGTCGTCACTACGCCACTGATAACGTCATCACCATGCCACTGATAACGTCGTCACTACGCCACTGATAACGTCATCACCATGCCACTGATAACGTCGTCTCTACGCCACTGATAATGTAGTCACTACGTCACTGATAACGTCGTCACTACGTCACTGATAACGTCGTCACTACGCCACTGATAACGTCGTCACTACGCCACTGATAACGTCGTCATTACGTCACTGATAACGTCGTCTCTACGCCACTGATAACGTCGTCACTACGCCACTGATAACGTCGTCTCTACGCCACTGTGTCTAACCACTTATTACCACGCTTATTGAGTCAGAAAAAAAACCCTCAATGAGTCTCGTGACATTTTTTTTGTTCTTCGAGAGGGTCCTGCCAAGATTGCTTTGCAGTCGGGGGCGTGGTGATGCCGGCAAATTTGGACCGAGACTCGGGCGCGCGAGATGACCTCTCGGGGATCTTTTAATGGCCACTGCGAAGGGTATTGTTGTCTGTGGTCATTACACCCCCAGGAATAACTAGGTCGGCCACTTGAATTGAACCATGCACCAGTGCCACAAGGTGTTCCTGCAAGGCCATGTAACCGCTCCTACGTCCAGGGCCATCACGGAGGGCGGGGGGGGGGGGCAGGCGATATTTTGTCTTAGTGCAGAGTGACGAGCGCAGTGGGTAGTGCATTGTGCTACATTCCCCTGGGTGTCTTTCCCAGCCACGCGAGCTGCCGATCGGCTCGCTGTGCCGGACCCATTTGTACTGCTGGTGGCTGGGCAGAGGCAATGGGGCGGGGGTTAATAAACTTGACCCACCGCTTCAACTGCCGCACCGGGCGATTAAATGGAGCTGGCGACCCTCGGATTCGAAGTGTGCTGACCGTTACATCACGGGCAGCATCCCCCGTTGCTGTCACGTGCGGACTAAATCCAGGTTTTTGCCCTAATTTATTTACTACCTGGCACCGAATCATTGTTATTGGGCCTATAAAAGCATTCTCATCTCTCGATGAGCTAGTAGCTCGATTAAAAGCCCCAATACTCTCACTGTACTCCCAACCCAAGGGAAACAACACACACACACAAATGGTCATCACAGCACTACACACATTTTTTTTTATTGCCGTAACAAAGCCGTCGTACAGAATTTATTACTTTACAATTTTATAGACTAGTACTGTACTTGCATATTCCAGCTTTGACACTCGGAAGATGTTATACAATATATAACGTATGAAGAAACAAGCAAGAATGGACTGTGACATTTATGACCTCCCTTCCTGGTCTAAATAAAAAACGGTGAGAGCTGGGATGTTTTTGCCACTGGCATTCCTTGTGGAAATGTATCTAAATATCAGTAGTGGAGTTCTCTTATCCTCGATAATGTGGTGGCGGATATCGCGGATCCTGTTATCCGCGGGAGTCTCTCTGAAAATGTGCTCCACTTATCCGCGATAGACATCTCCAGATAACCACAGATAATTATAGGATGCATTTTGCCAATTAACTCTTCGCATCCCTAAAAAACACATGAAGTGTTTCCCTGAAGTTCATGCCGTGAAACAGGGCTGGTCAGTAGCTGTGGGTAACTCACAATAAAAAGGCAGGTAATTATCTTTTGCTTGACTCCACTTATGCGTGAAACATTGGCAGATATTTGGAAGCCGTTCCACAGAGAATGGGACAAGCCCCGGATAATTGCAAGATAGTACGAAAAATGAGGCCTTGGATATTCAGTTTTTTTGCGGGCATTACAGTTCTCACGGAATATAGGAATCACAGGTTGCGAATAAGAGTTATGTAAATCGGACAAAATAAAGGAAACGTTTGTAATCACATGTTTGTGTACATATGATGGTTCCACTAAGTGTTGTGAACATGCAATCCACACCACTGTGTTAGATCACATCTCCTGTAAAGTGCTATCATCGTTAATCATCGTCCACGATCTATCCACTGATGGATGAAGTCATCCATCCCCAAGCTGCCGGCATTCTCTCTACGGTGACACGATGCAATCGTCTTGCTCCTGCATTCCACGATCTCATTCGCTCCATCTCCACGGTGGACATCCCGTCGGGCACGCGTGTTGCCTCCTTCGGCTACCACTGCACCATTCGTCTTGGCCTCTTCCCATCACGGTGCTGTAAAATGCTTTCTTGCACTACCAACTCTTGCGAGCCTGCACTGAAACCCCAACAAGCCAAAACATATTATTGGCGCATTTCCCCTATTCATTCAGCTTTTCTTAAGCTGTCCGATTATAATCGTAAATACAGCATAGTTTTAGTACACACACATAAAATAAAAAAGGTCAAATCTGACCACGTCCACATCTATAGACAGCAGTGACGGCGTATCTGTGGCACCGATGGTGGCATGCATGCCAGGGCACATCAGCGATAATATCCAGCTCATTATAATTCAGAGGCAATACAGTTCGAGGGTGGAGAAAGTAAAGTTCTGTGTGACATCCCCAGACATATCTGTGTCGCCTCGCACCGCGTGGGTTTTCACCGGCTGCTCTGGTTTCCTCCCACACGCACAACAAGCACTCACTAATTGGCTGAAAACATCTTAACATATAGAGGACTAAAATCAACCAGGTAGGGTGTTGACTGTTGTGTTAGCCGACTCTCTGCGCTGTATTGCATTATATTTCTAAGTTTACTAGGTTTGTTTTTTCATTCATTCTTACCTGATGACGATTGCTTGTGTTGCAATCGAAACGTTGTATTATATTAATTTAATTTATTTCTACGTGACTTTACCGAAAGATAACAGCCGGCTCACCACCCCCTTACTGTCTGTGCTTCTTCAGCGATTGTGAGAATAAGTTTGCATGAACGACAATGACCTAAAACGAAGACGTTATTATGAGAGTTACAGATCTATAATACTGTATTGCAACCACTGGCGCAGTGGTTCGAACCTGGCCACCTCACTTCTACTCCGGCCACGGCTAACTTAAGTGGCGAGTGATATCTGAACTGGCGCTGCATTGACCAGTACGGTGAAGTATGGTCAAACAACCCACGTGACCGACACGGTTGTGGGGATGAACTTCGTCCAACAGCGGATTGATAGAGGGATGTAAACTTCGTTTTATTACCATATGGATGTTCACCTATTTCTTACCCAGTGGAGCTTGGCATATAATTCAAATTGATGGACACTTGGCACACCGCTCACATATAGGGCTGAGCAGGGAGCAGCGAGCTGCGGTTGTCGTTAATGAGATCATATTTAACGGTCATTACAAGGAGCTCGGTGGTATCTTCTTTCAAAGTCGGTCCAAGGAAAATGTGACGGAGTGCCCTCTCCGTCGCAGGAATGCACGTTACCTTTGGACTTGCTACCACTGCACTCCGGTGGCACAATGGGTGGTATCTCTTTGAAGACACAAAGCCAGGGAAACTCCCCCAGTTATTGCTGGAAGCGCAACTCACCAACGCAACAGAGCTGCAGGCTGGGTTTTAACGAGAGGCGGAGCCATCCCTAGGGGCGACCGCCCCGGGCCCCGCACTTTTGGGGGGCCCCCGCGCTTTGACGTCACGGGTGTCAGATGTGACATGTTCGCTTTAGTTTTGAGGAGTCGGTTGTGATTTGCCCCCGGGCCTCGCACCCACCTCGGGACGGCCCTGATGACAGGACTAGTGTACAACGCGCTTGAACAAGAGCAGGTGATGCGGTATATAACCAACGTGACCTCCAATCGGGGCGCAACCACACAAGAATACGGACAAAAAACAACCCGTAACATTTTATACACAAATTGTGTGTGTGTGTTTTTTTTAGTCCGAGTTTTTCGCCTTTCAACAAGGCGAAGTAAATGCCAATGATGCTGATGACAGGCCCTTGCTATTGCACAGGAGTGCACGGACATTAGGCTCGATACTGTAGTCAGCAGCTCGTCGTTGGCATAGATTTAATTTGTAATTAAAGTGCAGTCGAACTCCGAAGTGGGGAGCAATTGCCACGGATCCCATTCTGTAATCTCGCCCTTCGCTGGACACCCCCTAACTTGTAAGGTAGTGGTTCTCAACCTTGTTTGGCGACTTCACTTCCACCCCCCCCGCCTTGTTGAATTTTGTTTCAACCCAGTACTCCCCCGGGCCTGACCCAACATGGTTCTGAGAGATGAATGTATGAATAATGAACATCAATATTTTCACCAATTTTCCATTTTGGGAGGTATTCTAACTCGGCTCGCAGTTGCAAGTGAATTAAAAAATGTAACGGGCGCTCCACATGCATGACGTAATTTGTTCGTGCTCGCTGGTTACTCTTGGAAACCCGCGCATTGTTTACAATCTATGAGTTTCTAAAGGTCGTTTCATCGTTCTTGGTTACCATACGTATTTAAATTTGATCGTAGTTATTTCATATTGGCAGATTCATACTTGACTATTCACCAATGACTCTAACGTGTGACATAAATTCACACAGTTCAACTCACTTACCCCTTGGGACATTGACACGAAACCCCCAGAGGTCCCCATGCCCCCGGTTGAGAACCACCGTTCTAAGATATGGCTGTGCCCCTGACCTCCTATGACCTTTGGTGAGACACGTTGACCTCGCAGCTGGCTATGGCCACAGCGACTCCACTGTGGGGTGCCGGCCTCAGCAATTGATCTCATCGCTCCAGTTCACGCAGTCCTGCACCGAGTCCCTGCAGCGTGTGGTTGGGATGCAGTCGCAGTCCTGAAAGAAGACGGTGGAGCAGCGCCACCCGCCACACACGGGGCACTGCGACACTGTGGGAGACGCACGACAGCGTAGCCGGGCGTCAGAGAGAGGACGGATAAAAACTGTCACGTGGTGTCTGGGCGGCTCAGAGGTCGCAGCGCCGAGATCCCTGGGATTGAGTCGACGCAGCTGCCTGCGATTGAACTGGGCTCTCATGCTGTGCGAGTCGAGGTGGTCGGTCACCAGCGACTGCACAAAATTATATGCCCATATTAAATACACGCATACAGTTGTTGAAGCCTCATTTACAATTCGTGCAAAGTGTTACGTTCGCAAAATTGCATGCTAATGCTCCATTAGGTAAATCATACGAGACTTTACTAAACAACGAGACGGTACAAACAACACGAAAGCTACAGATCAAGTTTAAAAACAAGCAATTATGGATTCTTCATTGAAATCGTGACAACCAAACTTGTGCGCAAAAACTGCTGCGACGTGCTTCCACCTCGTGAAAATTCGTTTCGCTCCACGACCTGCGAGCTTCTTCAGGAACTGAAGTTGGCATCTGGAGAAAGTGAATTCAGTACCTGAACAAGGTCCCGCGCATGTGTCGGGAAACGTCGGACATCGTGCCAAACGGTGCTCGGGTACAACCCGAACGCACACCGGAGAGCTTTACAGCAGACACCGCGAAAGCCTCTCCAGCGGGGTCAGCGATTTCCAATTACGAGCGGACAACTTGATTTGTGACTCTGCACGCTGATGATTGATCGTGATGACACCAAAAAGTGATGGAGATGACGTTTGCTGGGGATGAGTCAAAGGGAGGTGATGATGTGACTGTGAGAGCACAGAGAGAGAGACACAGCGAGAGAGAACGAGAGAGCGGCGCTCCTGTACCTGTTTCGTCGGAGCAGTCCCCGCAGTCGTTGTGCATGTCGCACAGCTTGTCCGTGTACGTCCACGTCTTCCCATCCCCGCACAGGAAGATGATGGAACTCGGGAGGGTGTTGGCGGGGTCAGCTGCTCGCGCCGACAGTCAAATTAGAGGCGGTTACGCAGTGTGGCAAAGCAGCTTGGAACAGGGGTAAAGCAAATGCATAAAAAAACCATGCGTTTTTATTACTTAGGAAAAATGTTTCTCAATCCGATGCTGCCACATTGGTGTAACGGTCAGCACAATGGACTTGCAATCCAGAGATTACTGATTCGACTTTATCTCAAGGTGCGGCAGTGTGACACAACAATAATTCACGTGTATATAGCTCTTTTCATCATAAGATCACAAAGCGCTGCACATTGATGCAAGTTTCCTAACCCCCTCCCCCGACGCCTCTGTCCACCCAGCGACAGTATGAGGTCACTAGTCAGTCAATCAGAAGGTCACGCATGGTGTGGTGAAGTATGGGTACTCATGCCTCTTCCAAGATGTCTGGCCAAAATCCCCTCTGTTGGGGCCGTCGAGAGCTCCCTGCCGTCGATGCCCTGCCACAAGAAGTCACGTGGCCAAGCAGGCTATTCTTTCATCGCTTGCCTTTACGGGATTATGCATATGCATCTCGATGGTTGGGTGTTTTTGTTGTTGTGGTTGTTATCATGAATGAACATTTCTTACACTGCATAAATGAACACAAAAAATGCCAACGTTTGAAGGCAGGAAAGAGCACAATGAGGTCTAGGATATGATTTGTGTGTTGGCAGAAAGCCACTTAAGCTGGCGGAGCTCTCCTCCGTGGCGGCACTAATGGAAAAGCACACAGAGCGAGTGCTCTAGCAGGATTAAATGGCCCCATGCCAACCCGTGAATCATGCCCACAGGCCCTAAAAATGACCAAACTTGCGGAAAAAATATTTCGCGGAAATGCATAAAAAGTTTTCCCGCTGCTCGTCCGGATGGCGTTCTGCGCACGGAAAATGTTTTCCTCCGAGGCCGGTTTCTCCGCAAACGGGGGACCGACTTGCGCATGATTAACGATTCGTCTTCGCACATTGCCATGAATATTTATTTACACCTCGAGAAAGTTGTGGCCAGCGAGTGGTGAGGCGTTCCGTGTATGTTCAGCATGCCTGCGAAGACGGAATTTGCTACCACTCATTGTTATTCACTTGTTATGTTAGGCAGGAAAGCCTTTCCTGGCCTTTCACGTTAGGCTGCGATGACTGCTATCTAGATTGCAATTGCGTCATTAGCCTGCCACTTTTCTAATTTGCAACGTGACGCGAGCACGCAACGGCCTACTCTTCCGAACGACGTCACGGATCTTTAACGTCCGCAACGGTTAATGCACCAGGCCTGGCGCAAGGAGGTGTGTCCGGGGGTGGGTGCTGTACCACCTCACGTCCCCTTTGCCCTATTCAAGTTCTCTCTCCTTGGCGGTGAATCACGGCTGTGGTGACCCCCCCCCCCCCCCCACACAACATCTCCACTGGCTCCCCCATCCAAGAGTAGCCAGAGTCGGACCAGGACACCCACAGTAATAAACGAAAACTAAACTATTTTTTTTATTATTTTACCAGGTAAGGCCCACTGAGCAATATAGATCTTTCTCAGAAGCGACCTGGCCACAAATGATAGCACAACGAAGCTCTCATTATGTGAACATTTATAGCAGCCAAAATTCTCTAAACGCGTGGTGACGTTGATTCCAAACGTGGAGGGAAAAACCGGAGTACCCGGAGAAAAATCCACGCGACCACGGGGAGACAGACACGCAAACTCCAACAATACAGGCGTTAGGGTCGGTTATTGAACCCACGAGCTCCTGCCGACCAGGCGAGGAAGTTGACAACTCGCCACTGTGGTGCCGCAATAACCGGGGCGGCATGCCGGATTCAAACCGCGAACCTTTGGCACGAGCGTCGCCGCGACCGACTGTGGCGCTGCGGCCGAGGTGCACTCACAGCAGTACTGCTTGCTCTCGTCGGCGCCCCCGGTGCAGTCGGAGCGCTGGTTGCAGACCTTGGAGGGCGAGATGCAGGTGACGCGGTCGTCGCAGAGGAATCCCGATTGGTTGAGCGTCGTCTGACACTCGCGGTTCACTGAGGGAGCGCGCGCGGAGCACAGCGGCGGCACGAGTCTCGAGGAGCACGCGGGGCGCAGAGACGACCGCGGTGCGTCAGACGGATGGCGCAGCGTTTTAGCCTTGCCACCCGTTCCTGGTTTTACAGGAGCATCTTCCTGTCCATGGAAATCTTTAAAGTCTTCCCTGGTGCATTAAAAGTCCCAGTTTTGTGGTAGTTGCGTAATAACAATAACAACAACAATAATTCACCACTCAAGGCAATTTAGTTTCGTGAAGTTCTCCCCACTTGCGGTTATTTTGAGATACTCCACTTCCCATGTCAGTCAGCAAACAAGCTCTTGCTGCTGTGCAGGCGAACGCGATGCTCTGGCCCGTGGAGGTGAAGGATTCTAAGATGCGTTGTATGAATGCGTGTGTGGTGTTATAGTTGGAGCTGCGGTAGAGTATTTTTAGTGGCAACCAAATAAAATCTGACCCCCCCCCCAACCCCATTCCCACTGGCACATCTCAGCCGAGCCAGCACGAGGCGCTTACAAAAGAGCAAATAGAAATCAGAATAAAAGCAACTGTCACTTGAGAAATCGAAAATATTGCACAAGCACAAATCGGACTTTAGTGTATTGATAAAATATATGGGTACATGTGTGTGGGTATGTGCATGCGTATTTGCGTGCGTGTGTTTGTGTGCGCATGTGTGGAGTGGTGTCATAGCAGTCGGCATGATGCTCTTTGAACACAGCGACATGGGTTTGATTCCCGCTCACGGCCAACACCGTTGACGATTATCTGCACCGGTCCTTGGTCGACTCAGCTTCAAATGAGTACCTGGTGCAATGTATAAACAGCACCACTAAGGAGACAAAGGCGGCCGGGCAGAGTGCTGGCCACCCACCCCCTCTGTGTGCTGTGCTGGCCTTCCATAGGTACAACTCAATAACAGCACTTGCCCCAACAGTTTGCTAAGGTGAACGCGGGTGGGGGTATCTTTGTCTTTGTGCGGTTTACCTCCGCTGATTTTCGGCACCCCATACACCACCCCAAGCGCCACGGCCACAGCCACAGCCGCCACCACCAGCAGACAGATGATGAAGAGGCACACGCAGCGCTGTGTGCACCAGCGCTGGCATCCACCCTCGCAGCACCCTGCACTCAGTCACCAGCAGCCACCAGCAACACCAATGTCAGCAGTAAGAAAATTAAGGTAGAGGTTCAGCTCTGCAATGTCTTGCTCACGCCCCTGCTAGCAGATGGGGCTTCCGTGACTAAACTAATGTTGTGGTACCGTTTCAAGCCCTTTGTCAATCCACTTCTGGATGACAAAGGGCGCTCGAGAGGCTACTTGGTCTACTCTTCCACAGTGGCTAGAAATGAGAGTACGTACGCCACCACACACGACGTTGTGGTGGAGACATTCACACTGCTGGGTGAACTTAGTCGTGGTGTTGTGGGGGGGGGGGGTTAACAAACTTGCCCCATTGTTTCAACTGCCGTGCCAGGAGATAGGATCGAACCGGTGAACTCTGGATTGCTAGGGACCTCACCTCTCATGTTGAATAGGATTCAGCAGCAGGGGGAGAGGGTGGTGGGGGCGTGATCCTCGCCACCCCCCCCCCCCCCCCCCGACACTCTAAAACTTGCTCTATTGATGTTTGGTATTCACGTGGGAATCGATTTAATGAATTTGACATTTCGGCACCGCCGAAGTTTCTAAACCCCCGCCTCCGATAGGGTCGCGGATTTGAGCGATTCTCCTGCCATATCAGGCGCCACGGTTGCGAGATGTTGACCACCTCGACTGGTATACAGAAGATCAAGGGGTTCGATCCTGACCCTGACGCCTGTATTTTTGGAGTTTGCATGCCTCTCTCCCCGTAGTCACGTGGCTTTGTCTCCGGGCCCTCCAGATTTCCCCCTCCACATTTATAATCAACATCAGGCGTTCAGAGTATTTGGCTGCTATAAATACCCAATGTGATAAGCCACACTTCGTTGAGCCATCATCTGTGGCCAGGTCGCTTCTGAAAAAGAGCCTTATAGCTCAGTGGGCTTTTTACCGGGTAAAGTAAGGAAATGTGTTTATAGTTTAATATCAACAGCTGGCGGCGCAGACGCATTCACGGCCGCTATACTCGGCCGTGTCAAGCAGCAGCAAGTTCGGGAAGGCCTCGCCTGTCTCTCTGTCGAACGTGAGGGTGGAGTCGAAGGACTCCTGGGATGGCGAGCGGCTGCGCTGTGGGAAGAAAACCACAAGCACGAGAGAGCGCATTAATAATTAACAATCAATTGGTGCGCATGTACGCACGTTGAGCTTCTTTTGCGCCGTGCGTAGCCAACCGTGATAATCGGAGGTGCGGGGGAAGGACAACACATTCGATATTTGCGCGATTCTCAGAGAGCAAGGCTACAGCGCGCATTCGTGATGGACTCGACTCACACGTTTAGGTTTACTCATTAAGACAGAGCTGTTGTTCCACAGATGGATTTAGTCTGCCAGTAGAGGGGGAATGTTGCATTGTGGTTTCACGCAATGAAGTAATTTGCCAGGTATAAATGTGCCGATGAATAGATAACGAACTATTCGTATATGTATCTATTTATGTGCCAAATTACAAACCGATCGACAAGAAAACATTTTTAAAAATCATGGGACCTCCTTTGCCAGTACCAAAATATGAGAATAAGGGGAAAAACAGGTGTTTTGTTGCCAGATAAAAGGGGAAAACTTATTCTCATTTTTAAAAAAATGTCATTGTTATCAGGCCCCCATGGTGTAAACAGGTGCAGCCTCCAACTCTTACTATCCACTCCATCTCTCTGGCCCCTCGATATTTTCCCGCACCTCCGATTAGCACTGTGGGCTACGTACGGTGCGAAAGAAGTTCGGAATCCGAATATTTATTGAGACTGGAGAAATCCGATGAGCTATGAAGCTCATTTCCCACAGATGTCCAGTCGGGGCAGGTCAGAGCGCTATATACATACATATACTATTGTGACCCACACCCACTGTGCCTCGATCTTTCCTGGCCGTAATCGTTATCGAGGACACGGGGCGGCCGTCATCAACAACTGACGAACTAAAAGTTTTGGTCGCGCTGCTGCGATGTTTTCCTTGGTTTCCGCTGCGTGATCCTCCTTTTTGTCAACTACAACCCAGGCTCGCCCTCGCTCCCAACGCCGGCCACGTGCACATCACAAATGACGTTCCGTGGGCTTGACGAGGTTCCAAACGGGCATCTGTTTATTCGTACGGCTCCCAGCACACAGGTACGCCAACAGACCTGTAATATCGATTTACCCGTATTCTTGTACGGGGAAATTGAGTTTTCAGGTCCATACGGCGTACTGCCGTTTTACTTCGAGTAAAAAATGTTTTTGTTTATTTGCTTGTGTTTCTCCCTCGTGATGGGACTTTAAAGTTAGATGAACGTTGAGATTTATAAGGGCACGGGGTGACCCAATAAGGTCTGAATTGGTCTGTAATTAGGCACTGATGACGGGTTGACAGGTATGCGATCGGCCCTCGATACAGGCTCCCTGTCTTCAAGATCCCCTTGTCCAGTGGTCACGCGACTCTGGCAATTGAGTCATTTGCCTGCCTAACGCGCGTTTAAAGAAGGGCCTGGCATCTATCCGAAGCCAACCGTGGCCCAGTGACATTCACAAAGGTTTAACACCCACCAATTTACACCCTCCCTAATACGGTAGTGAGAATATATGCACCATTTATTAGTAACACAACCACACTGGTGACACTATGAAGAAGGATCATTGCCCAAAGCGTCGCCTCACGCATGTTTTACTTGTTAAAGGTCACACGGGTTTATTTTATTTTATCGACAGAGTGCTAATGTTGCCCGTGGGGTCACGAGGGAGTGACGTCAGCGTGTGCGCGACCCTGCCCCAGCAAGTGTTTACACTGACAACGCATTCTCACTCCGGCAATCAAAAACAACAACAACAAAGCGAAGCAGACGTGTTGACATTCGTTTGTTTGCACGTTCACCGCAGGTATGTGTTGTTAATGCAGACTTGATGCTTTGGAAAAAATTTCGATGCGGTGTTTGAACACCTTTACACAACTTTGTTATTGCGAGAAAGGGTGAAACATATTCTTATTTTTTTCTACTTTGATACTGGCAAAAATGTCCCATTTTGTGTTGGCATTCGTATTATAATGTAAAGCAAGCGACGCGTCGATTCTTACGGCGTATCGGTTGTTGACATGTGCATGGTTGGCAACAGTGGAAGTTAACAAAATGATTAATGTAGTAACAGTCCGGAATGTATCCAATGCACCATATTTAATGTTTCCATTCCTCGCCACCAATTATTCAGGTATTTTTGTCTGTCGCCTAGCATGTCTGATGGGAAATGGTGTCGTTTCTTCGTTTAATTTAGATGTGTGCAGTCTGGCGGTATGACCCGTTGCTCGTATTTACACACGCCGCAAGAATCAACGCATCGCTTGCTTTACATTATAATACGAATGTCAACACGAAATGGGGGGGTACAGCTTCCGTGACAGGTGAATGGTGCATAGCGGGATAGGCGGCTCGGACAGACAACCAACGTGGACGTGTAGGACCGTAGCGTTATGTGGTGCGTGGTGTGTCACATCCCTTTTCTTCGGGAAGGAAGTGGGTAAGAGGGGGGGTGGGTCAGTCTCTGGAGTGGCATTCACGAGGGAGCCCCAGATCTGGGCGAACTCCAACTTCCCGATTCCTCAGTTTCACACTCGGGTGTTCTAAAGCTGCAAGGGCTAGTCGGGAGTTGTGCCAGAGAGGGTGAATGAGGGGCCCCATGATTCTACCAGGAGCTCAGGATGGTCTTTCTAATCGAAATGTGAAATGCTTGGAGAAGGGTGTGTTGGTGCCTGGTGATACCTTGGGGTTTAAGGTGCAGGAGGGAGGATTCAATGCTGGGCAGTATCTCGGTGTCAGCCATCACGTTGACAGATCGGTTATTTTATCATAGAATGTCCTGATGGTGGGACAGTCCCAGAAGGCGTGAATGTACGTTTACATATTCACTTTAATATCACCCCCCATACCACACGATCCTGCACATCCGATAAACACGGTTGGCTACATAGGGTGCGAAAAATAAGTTAAGCATACATACAGTAGTACGTACATAAGCCTCGCCAATGTAATTGGCGCCGTGAAGCCTGTTCATTCAAAGACATTCAATCCCAATTACATGGTCACCCAGCCTTTTTTTTATAATTCTATCGCAGTGTGAAAAAAGGTGGTGGGGGGGGGGCATGAATTGTTTTGGTTTCCAGGTCTCACTTCGTGTGTGTTGTGCGCGTGTGAGTGGACGCGCGTGGAGCTGAGTGTTGTTTTCACTGGGATTCAGAAGGAGGGTTTCCGAATCGCGTGTTTAAAGGCACGCCGAGCGAATTGTGTGACTTTGCCAATGGCTATCAAAACAGTTCCCCCCCCACCCCGTCAGTGAGCTTTGTCAGCGGGTATTGATTTTACTGAAAATTAAAAGGATAATAACAAAGTAAGATGAGCATGAAATTATTCATTAAATCGCATATTGATTCATCATTGACTCCCCCCGTCCCCCAGGGTAAATCGATTATTTTTCATGATTAAAGTTCGTTATTCCACAATCGACTTTTTAACATTTGTGGTAACTGTAGCGGCTTCTCGTGGAGGCAGGGACCAACTGAACACATCACATACAACATTCAGCATAGGAATTACTACAATTTTCTATAGATTATGACCCATACCATCATGAATCACGAGTGTAACAATCAATATTAATCAATAGATCAGTGCATCGTTACACCTCTAATGTATGAGTTCAGAACGGTCCTACAGTTAACTACCAGGGAGAACTGTCATGGTGAGTCACGTGTTTACAAGTGTCTGCTTTTAACAACGGAATGTACAATTTACTGCAGACTAAGTTAGTAAAAAGGCTGATCACTAGGCTATCCGGTACATAGTCTACCTGAATGGTAACCATAACTTTAGCCTTATCCATTGTAATCTTCACCCTAACCCTGCCTCCAACCCACAAATTAAGTCCACGTCTTAACAATAACTCTAATCCCAACTGCAACCCTTGTGTCTAACCTGCCATAAAACCTAACCTTGACTCTAACCACAACTTAACGTAGAACGCGACCTCTCTCCCACATTTAAACACCAGGCCGGACCGTAATATCCTCTAACCATAACCCTAATCCCTAATGATATCCTTAATCCCTAAAACGAGGTAGGGTTGGGCTGGACCATTGAGGATCATTCAGGATTTGTGCAGGCAGCGAGACATGGTGCTGGGCCATCACTTGGCAGTCCTGAATGTGAATGTCTCTGAGCTGGCAAGCCATTGAAGTGGCGTCAGAGATGGAGGTGGCCCCCCACTAAGAGACACACACAGGACTGTGAAAAGAGACCACAAAAGTAAATACAACATTCTTCAGCGCTGTGCAACTATAGTTGACTTGCAAGACGAGAATATTTACTCAGCCAGACAAACACCAGAACTAATACGAAGGTGAAATGATTAGCAAATATTACCCCGGAAGGAAGAATAAGAAGAGCTGAGTTCATAATAATTTAAAGTTGGAGGAAATCAAACGGAAGCTCCATCACAGTGGTGGCCAACCTTCCCGATTTTACTCGCGGCCACTCACCAACCATCTTCATTTGGTCGAGAGCCACGAGGCACGCAACATTCAACATTACATTCTGTAACAAGTCATTCTGTAACAAAGTCAATCTTTCTTTGCATTTAAGTGTACGCGTGCATTTTCAACTAAAATCCCGTAAAGTTGAAGACTTCTCTCCAAACGTATTTGCAGTTGCTGAATATGCTTTAAGAAGAGCGTTATTAGTTCCTTCCATATATATGCTCCTAACCTTATCCTAACCCATGTCGCGCCTGATGTGAACCTTAAACTCTGTACGTACGTATCTTGAACTTCTTTCGCACAGTACGTAGCCAACCGTGCTAATCGGAGGTGCGGGAGGTGCGGAATCCCCTTAATCCAGGGGTCTAAATATGTCCGGGAGGAAAGCAAATGTTCGCTGGCGGGAACCAAGATTCGGGGGAACCAAGATTCGATCCGACGAGGCCTCTGCGTTCCCTAAACCAACGAGAAGAAGCTTCTACGGGGCGGAGACGTGGCACAGCGGTGGCACGCACGCCACATTTTGCACAGATTTGCGGTTCGAGCCCAGTAGCAGCCATGGTTAATACTGCGAGTGTACCTGCCATAAACAGACGCTGTCTGCTTCACAGCGGACATTAAGGGTCGTTGGGAAATGAGGATGCAATGTGTGCAGCAACAAAAATGCCCCAAAATAATTTCTCACAACTAAGCTCAGTGGGTGAAAGCACGGAGCGACATCGCCCCCCTACCATTGGAGATTACTCGGTCTGTGACACACAGCGCCTTTGGAAGAATAACACGAATACCAAATGAATGTAATTTTCATGAATTATTTAACGATGTCTTGCGCACCCCGACTAAAAAGCTCTCGACCCCCGCCGCGTCTTCTCCACACCGCACTACGCCACCATCCACCCATCTTCTGTATCTGGTGAACTCTCGGAGCAATTACTCTGGACGCAAATTGGGACAATATATCGCGCAGGGACTTCATAGCCGTGGTCGCTTGTGTTTAAACAGAGGTGCTATTTCTTCTTTTAATTTGCTTGTCTGTGTTTAGTGGTTTGCTCGAGATGTCTGTCCCGTGTCGTGCACGGCTCGTTACGGGACTAACACCGCCGGGTGATATATCTTTAGATTCTGTTTTATGTCGCCGTCTTCGTTTCGTTACCTGGCAGGCAACAGCTGATAAACGTCACGAGTGTGGCAATAAACACGCGCGTGCGTTTCACTCGCCATCTCGAGTTCATGAAAGTTGTCAACTCTCTTTATGATTAAAATTAGACTCGGCCTAAATGATCAACGTGCTACAACAATGATCTCAAAACCGGTTGCTTGTCTCTGAATTGGTTCACATCAGCGGCACACTCTCACCGCCGGACTCCTGGCCCTTGCTGGGAGCAACACGAAGGGACAACGACAGATCTGTGCATTCTACGTTAGGCCGGCAGCACACGTAGTGCCGAATTATCCTCGTAGCACGTGCTACGGGCCCCGCACTTTCAAGGGCCACGCGCTGAATGCTTTTAAGCTATCAATTCCGATTCAGTGATTCTGCACTATACTGCCTTTTAACTTTTATGAACGACAGGGTGGTTAAGGTTAGCGATTTGTCGTATTATTTGGCTTCATAGTAAATGAAAAAAATACAATTACTCGACTACTATGCAAGTTAAAAATTGGTGTTTTAATATATTTTGTAGAAATTTAGGGCCCCTTTATAACAACATATGCTACAGACTCTGCACTAGCTTAATCTGCCACCAAGCAGAGACCTCAAGTCTTGAGGACTGCCGACACCTCGCCATTCTTATTGGTTACCCTACTACGCTTTTGCTCATTGTACGGAGAGTTATAATTGATTGATTGATAGATCCGATCCATCATCTTCAGCCATGGTGCTGTCGACCACCACACGTGGCCATGCAAAAGCAGTCGGGCACCTACTGCACCGCTTCCCCAGGTGACTCACACTCGAGATCGAAGTTACGCGCACGATAGCAGCAAGAAGTCGAGATAATGATAATAACGGTTCGGGCGATGGTCTGATCACAACTCTGGGTAACAATTTTAGACTCACATACGACGAGTGAGTATGGTGCGCTGTAGGTGATAGAAGATGAGCGTGCGATACTGGGGCTGATTCACGTGGGAGTGATTGTTCTCCCCTGGCTGGTCAAATTTTGTCGTCAAAAAAATGTCCCCATGTCTCCATCACCAACAACGGGGCAAAGGCAAAAGGGCAAATTTGCCAAGAAGCCACTCTGAGTCTGTTGGTCCCTACACCCTGAATGCACCCGATCTTGTCATATCTTGGGCTGAGCGAGGTTAGTACTTGGATTGAGACATGTTCAGTAATTGTATCAGATAATACGATGTGTCGGAGGCCTGCGCTGTGTGGTGGCAGGATAAATAATGCACAGCGGTAGATTGAATCCATCTGTGCAGAGCTGTCAGTGAAATCCCTTCGTATAGGAGAGTGTTTTTCTAGATACTATTTTTCCTCTCACGCGAAGCGACTTATTCATGCCATCAGTAAAACATGCCAATGCAGGACCCTTATTACACATAGTTGAGACTCGGTGAGGCTTTCCTGGATAAAGGGCCATTGATTGCATGACACACTCGGCACGACCTCCCAAAATCACTGTAATTATCTCGTCTGGGCACTATTCTTCTACAAGGATTCTGCTGTTTTCCAATCGCGTCCCTCCCACAGATATCTCGACTTGTTCAGCGAACGCGCACGTAAACTTTCCTTTGCTCACGGTTTTACAGAGGCCAACTTTGAGCCTTCAACATCCATAATACAGGTTTATTTGGGGGGGGGGGGGTTAGATCGCGTAAATATATAAATGTATCGTTAAACCCGCCACCACCGATACAGACAATGAGTAAGGTTTGTCACGTAAACAGAACATGCCAGTTCGTTACGAGTACAGCACGCCGGTGTGTTGGAGAGCCAAGCCATTCTTCTCCATCTCACATTTCCTGGTAACATGATATTAACGTGAATTGTGCATGATTAATAATATGTAAGGTTATGATGATGACAGTGGTGATGCTGATAGTCCTCTGTGCCACAATTCATGAACCACAATATGATGCGTAATTATGCAGGCAGACCTCGCCGAACGCGGGGGGTTACGTTCCTGGAAAATCCCGTGTTGGGCAAAACCGCATTCAACAAATAGGATACCTTATGGGGAAAATGTTTGCGTTCCTGGGTCTGAAATGATCACCCTTTCCTCCTTTGTGATGCCACGATGTTGTGTAGTTGTAAATTAATGACTACCCTTTTATTTTGCGAGCGTTTGATGCACCTCCCCGGTTTCTGTATTCACCGTAATCATGACGGCGGTGTGTATGTGTGTGTGTGGTTCCTTGAGGTTAACTTAAGAACTCACCTTGCTCCGCGAGGGATGAACTCGATTGGATTTCATCTCTCCGTGCGGTCCCCCCAAGGGCTCTACTACTACAGCAGCCGCCGCACGCTACGAATGGATCTAACCCCGATTATTTTTTTTTACCACCACTCGAGAACAGAAACCAATTTGAATTTTAAATCGCACCTCAGGATCGCCTGTTATTCATTAAACGCGAGGTGAGATGTGAGAGCCGATGTGCAAAAGAAGTGATGTCGAGCAACACCCGCCACACACAGCAATGACGCGACTGTTTGGGTTGAAGGTTACACTTGGTTTCTAAGGAACTGCAGCACAAAGGCAGACTTGCACAAGTTCCTGACACTGTTGATTTAAAGGTCTCCCCCCCCCCCACCCAATACCACCTGCAGTGCTTCCCCCACCCCACACTCCAACGTGTAAACAAACTCGACACTCTACAACAGTTGGCAGGCATACTGATAGGTTGTAGTGGTTTCACGCCGATATACAATCGTCCTGACGCGCTGTGTTTGTGTGTGTGCCTTTGCGGGTGAGTCATCGGGTGTAAAAGCTGCCCCCTATTCAAGCCTCTCTCATCTCTGTGCATCCTGCACGCGGAATTTTCCAGCAATACAATCACAGGGGGAGGAAGAGCGCACGCGTCCCATCTCGCGCGATCTTCCGTGCGCGTGATCCACATGGGCAGAGCCCGTCCCAAGGGTACACGGCGACTCGGGGGGGGGGGCTTGGTACCACCCCACCGCCTCCCGCGCTTCGACATCACGGTGTCAGATGTCATCCAGTTTGTGTTGACGGCGTCTGGAGACCCACCACACGGTGGGATTTGCTCCGAGCCCCGTTACCCCCCCCCCCATCCCGATGGTTGTCCCTGCACATGGGAGTGTGTGTGTGTGTATTATTATGGATGTCAGTTTAACACGTCGTAGGCTTTCGCGACTAATAACCTCCATAATACAGGCTTTGTGTTGGGTTATATCGCGTAAATGTTTGTCCTTAAATCCACTACCACCCAATTAGTAGGGTTTGTCACGTAAATAGAACATGCCAATTCCATAAGAGTCCAGCACACCGGTGCGTTGGAGAATAAATCCACATTTACAATTTGAGTACGACGTTTCGCCAGTAATTACAACTAGCTTCATCAGGCGACAGCCAAATCTGGATGTCGCATTTATATATTTACGCGATCTAACCCAAAAAAAGTGTACAGTCTTATGTATATAATGGATGTGTTTCCGAGTTTCAAGTTCATCTGGAAAATCCAAACATCGGGCCAACAACATACGACATTTTGGAGAATCCGGAGAGAGGAAAAATAAGACAGTTTCGAATTTATCCGAACATGTGACCTCACAGAAAGCGACCACTTTAATGTCATCACATCCGCGCTTTTGTTCGTGCGATGCCACGTTAAATAATAACGCAACGTAAAGGATCTGAAATTTCCCTCTAAAATCTTAAATATTCAAGTCTTAAACTCATCCTCGCGTATTTAAGAGCAGGAAGTGTCCCCCTTGTATCTCCTCGACCTAAAGATGCAGTAGCATCGCCCTGCACAAAATCCGTGACCTGATCCCTTCCGTGAAGGATGTCATTCCTGACTTACAGTACCCCGGGGTTTACAAATTGATCTGCACCTGTGGTGACTGCTATATCGGGGAGACGACACGACGTGTCTTTGACCGAATTCGCGAGCACAAATCAGATTTGAAACACGGCAGATCGAATTCTTCTGCCGTAGCTGATCACTGTTACAACGCTGTGGGTGATCACGATATAGTTTTCTCCGATACCAAGGTTCTCTGCAAACCCACGGGTTTTTATCAGAGATTTGTCCACGCGGCAAATCAGATTTACAAACACAGACACAATTTCAACCGAGAGGATGGTTTCAAATGAAGTAATCATTGGAAAGATGTTCTAAATCAAACCAAACATTAAACTGGTTTTCAATGGTGCAGTGTGGTTATTCGGGTGGTGGCATCCCAAACTTTCACAGCAGCCTGTTTCTCTTCACACCAGCGTTGTGTGAACTCCCCCCCCCCCGCGCCGGTCCATCATGCACTTCCCCACGCCGGTCCATCATGTATTTCCTACGTACATCATGCTCATTTTTATGCTAATTCCTTTGTCAAGGCGCTTTTGTTCCTTCCCTCCCACACAGCTTAAAGGACGCGACCTGGGCTTGGCTGTTTTGACTCCAACGCTGTCCTCTGGACAGCCCGGTCCCTTCACCTGATGAAGGCCGCTTGTGTTGTGGCCGAAACGTCGTGATTTTTTGTTGTTTTATTTTTTACCTACATAACTTTACCGAATAGAACCAAAGAGTATGGTTCCACATGCTGTTGTGTCATTAATTGGCACATCTCTAAAGCATGGATGAGGAGCCCTTTCATTACCGAGGTCTTAATAGCACTTTTAAATACAAGTGGCAATTCATCAACAACGATCGCCGTTCACCACTAAGTAGCGTTGACGTCACCACGGCGCTTTGTGCCATGCTAGGTGCACTTGGAGGCCCGCTGGCAGGAGATCAGGGAACAGACCCAGGTGCCATGGGTTGACTGAGATGACTGCCAGATGCAACACATGTGCCCCCTACTGTGCCAACTTTCTTCGTTTTAGCTGCCCAGTGCTCCGCTCGTTGTTGTGAGCATCACTCCTCCGCCCTCCGTCGTTGTTGGAGGGCGACTGCCTCCCAACTGCCCGGTCGCGTCCTTCACGAGCCTCCTCCAATCGAGGCCAATCTTGGCATCGCTGGTACCAGAAATGCTTGTAATAATAACAAACACACACTCCAGTACACAGACAACTGAAGAAAAACAATGGGAGAGATATCAAAGCATTCGGTCATTTTCTACCCGTGTATGGATAGCCAGTGCTGTCGTGTTTACAAAATATATATTTGCCCATGAGCCCAGACCAAACATTTCACCCTCCGGTACCACTTGAGGTGGCATAACTTTAGTAATTCCAATATCCTTATGTGGGCCAATCTCATTGAAATATGTGATAACCATTTGAAAGATTTGGTTCTCAAGTAATTCACTCTTATTGGCCATACAATTACATGGCTGCAACGAGAGATGTTGCTGTCTTAGGTGGTTCCAATGTATGCGGCGGCTCACAGACCAATACTCAGACAGGGATATAGACCCAAAGCCAGCGTCAGGGCCCAACACCTAAAACAGGGGGAACGAGAAGCCAATATTGACACGGGAAGAAGTAATTGGCGTCTAGGAAAGGCCCCCCCAGGTGTGTTTGTGTTTATCCTCATTCACTCATGAATGAAATTGCCCAGATGTTCAACTTTCCTATTTTACATCCTCCACTCTATCATTTGAGAGCACATCGGGGGATTGGGTTCGTATTTACATTTTTGTCAATAAATCAGTTGTGTGCCGATGCAAGACTTTCTAATTTTTTTCCACGTCACTGTAGCTTGTAACCCATCTGTGCAGACTTGTGCAAATTGATGAACGGTTCTCCCTCGTGTGTGGATTGTCCTCAAGTCCCGGAGTCTGCTTTCCTCCCTCATTGAAAATCTAATCATTAAAACGGGACGTGGCCAAATGAAGTAAATTCAGCACTCTGAGGATGAAGTCTTAAAACTCAGTTGTGGATTTCTAGTCCTGCTTTTCCTTTGTGTGTTTTTTTTCCACGAACAATGCTGTTGTGATTTTTCCAAAAAAAGACATGTCAAAAGTATGAGAATAGGTGTTGGCCAAGGAGGTCTAATGATGTCAAAAGTATTTTTCATATGGACTTATTTTGTATGTATGTTGAACTTCTTTCGCACCGTACGAAGCCAACCGCGCTCATCGGAGGTGTGGGAAGCACCGACGAGCCAGGGGTCTACAACCTGCGGTTCTTCAAGGACTGCTTCGTGACCTTTATCAAGGGCAACCGTCTCGTCGTCACCACTTGCACTGCGGCTCTTGATGTGCTGAGTTGTATTTACAGAATCCTGGGCTAGAGCCCCAGCCACCAACCCTTACCTGGTAAGATAACAAAACAAAAAAACACGAATTTTGATTTAAAGCTTTCGTGACTGCAGGGATTCATATTCTTGGTTCTTTCGGTAAAGTCACGTAGAAGGGAAACCATAAAATAATAAAAATATAAAACAATAAAATTCTCACGTTTCGACTGCAACACAAGCAATCATCACCCAATCATTAGGTGTGATGATGATTAGGTGTGATGATGATTGGGTGTGATGATGATTGCTTGTGTTGCAGTCGAAACGTCGTGAGAATTTTATTGTTTTATATTTTTATTATTTTATTGTTTCCCTTCTACGTGGTTTTGTTTAATTTGTAAATAGTAAGTAAAACTCTGTTTTATATAGAGCCGTTCACACAAGGCCTCACAGCTATTTATATATAAGATACAATCCCAGTAAAAAAACATTTCTACAGAGATATATATGTTCTTGGTTCGTTCGGTAAAGTCACGTAGAAGGGAAACAATAAAATAATAAAAATATAAAACAATACAATTCTCACGTTTCGACTGCAACACAAGCAATCCTCATCAGGTGTGAAAACCACAGCAAGAAATTTAAAAAAAAAACGTAAGAATTTTATTGTTTTATATTTTGTATTATTTTATTGTTTCCCTTCTACGTGACTTTACCAAAAGAACCAAGAATATGAATCCCTGCAGTCACGAAAGCTTTAAATAAAAAATATGTTTAAGTTATTTGTTTACCTTTCATATACTTTGCACTCCTATTGTGTTTTTTGCATTGTTCATAATACAGGTTTTAAAATTAGGTCGTGTAAATATATATTAATGTGTCGTTAAACCCGCCACCACCCGACACAGCCAACTCGTAAGGGTTGTCACGTAAACAGAACGTGGCCATAGGAATAGGTTTTACCCTTTTAACTGGCACAAAAACTGACACCTTTATTCAAGGCATCATGTTTGCAATAACCACAACACAAGCAGTCAAAATGCAAACAAAAGAGACAACTCTGATAATAATATGCACTGTCCTTGAATTTGATTGGTCCACACCCGAGACGGCTTTTCTTAGCGCCTAGTCTCCACTGGTGTTGGACCATTATCAGAGTTGTCTTTTTTGTTTGCATTTTGACTGCTTGTGTTGTGGTTATTGTAGACATGATGCCTTGAATAAAGGTGTCAGTTTTTGTGCCAGTTAAAAGGGTAAAACCTATATCTTGTTACTGGCAAAGGAGGTCTCATAATGTAAACAGAACGTGGCCAATTGGTCACTAGTACAGCTCACACCGGTGTGCTGGAGAGCCAAGCCACAACATTTACAATCTGAGTACGACGTTTCGCTAGTAATCATGCGACAGCCAGAGTTTGCATTGTTGATGTAACGTTCTGACCTGCCCCCCCGAGTGGACATCTGTGTGAAAGAGCTTTACAGCTCATCGAATACCTCTTTGCAGTATAAATATTCAGAAATGAACGATTCCGATTCCGGGACTAATTTCCTGCTAGAATCGAGGAATCGATCCATCACCATTGGCAACGTGACTCAAAGACAGTAGGTATACAGTAGCTGCGTCCCCTCGACTCGTAAAGTAACGCCGAGAGCGATGCAAAGACGAAGGGATAATTAAGAGCAAATTGACTGATAGGGTGAAGTTTTAATAGAGCAATAGACTCACGGGCCGACGAACATACCAGCTGTTTGTTCGACGAATCGAGCATAGTTGATGCGTAATAGAGCGAGATACGTCTTCGTGCTGCGTTGATACCCGAGGCGGTGACCCTCGACAGCGTGATCGCACGGGCACAGCGAGCGGTCGGCCAGGGTGGTGGAGGCTCTTGCCTGTGTCTCCGTGTGCGCGATGGAGGACGTGGCGCTGAGCTCCGCGGGAGCCCGGGTCTCGCTGGCCACGAGCAGCGACGAGCGCTACCCCGCAGAGAGCGTTACGGACGGGTGAGAGACTCCGGGAGGAAGGGTCCCGATTTCCCTTCATTCAGTTCCACTGTCGTGGTCACCGGCGGCGTGGTGAAGTATGGTCAAACAGACTACCCCACCGTGGTGAACACGACGTGAGCATGCATTCATCCAGCAGTGGATTGAATAACAGATGGCTGGGTGTACTTGGTTGGGGAGCGGTGGTGCGGTGGTTTGCGCAGTGCGTGATCGACCCCCGGGGAGACCCAGCCACGGCTAACATCAGTGGCGATTGATATCAACACTGGTGGTCTTGGGTTATCCTCCCCGCCTTCACGAGCTTGCACCGACGGCTGTTTACTTTGTTACGTGGCCATCCAGAACAGATAGTTGAAGTACTCTAATATGTCCGGGTTTTGATTTACCAAAATAGTTTTTTTTGTGTGGAAGAGATAGTCCATATATATCTGTAGACCCAAACAGTTTTGGTCGTTTTTTTCCCATGGGAGAAACCAAACCCATGTAAATTTGAAAACGGTACAATAACAATGTGTTTAATTAAAATACATTGCACGTTCTAATTAATTGCTCATTTCTCACGGAATGTATTATTATCTTGGTGTAAAGGCTCCGGGTGGAGATAGCATGATTATCACTGGAATAAAGAATCATGATTGTCGTTTGCGTGTGTTTTAAAAAAAAAGTTCTTTCCCTGCAGGAGCAGTTCCACATTCTGGACGAGTACAGGCACATTCCCGCAAGAGTTTATTATCACCTTGGCAGATGTCACCAGCGTCCAGTCCATAAGGATCGAGTGCTACAATGGTAATCCTCTTACACCGATGTGACACGTGTAGCGCGGGTGGCTGTGCTTTCCGCACAAAGATCGTGACGCCAAGGACCTTGCGCTACAAAACTCCAGAGAACTGCAAAAACGGCTTTTTTTTTGCGCAGTTCGAAGCTGCGGTGGTGAAACTGAGCGAACGAGAGGCTCGCTCAAAGAACGAGTGGGGAAAACGGCCTTTGGTGTGTCGAGCAGGATCCAGTTACATTCACGATGCTGTCTCATGAAAAAGAGGGTTCAGTCATTAAGTTCTGTTTATTGCCATACAGTTCAAGTAATCACACGAGTGCATTAGATGATGCGACAGTAATTTTGACACAGATGTACCGTTTGTTCGATCCGAGTACCTTTATGAAAGATGCTGTCACATTTTATGTTGGGTATGGGAAGACGGGGCAGCGAAGGATGTAATCTGTGGCTTGATTTAAAATGTGTAAAATATTTTTTTTGCTATAATACTGACACTAATGGTTCACTCTAAAGCTCTGCACAGCTTTTGGTAATTTGAAAACGGTAATGATGCTTTAATGTAAATGTACTTGTTATTTTTCAGTGCGCAAGTTAGCTGTGGAGCACAGCATCTCATCTGAGCCAATCAATTTCGAGCCACTGTCCGAGATAGGTATGCCTGAACGCATTTGGTAGCATTGCATATCATGAAGCAAAATGTTCCGGTTATCACGCCGTGTATGTACATAGATTTACAATTGTAAGTTGTCTGTCTGCCTGCTATTTTTCTCAATGGCTGTCAGTATTTTCTTTTGTTTGCACCTTTGCCTGTGGCAACTGAAGCATCGATTCCAGTGAGCTATCCACAATCTGTATTCCATTGAAAGTAACCTGCACTTGATTGTGCGCTTTCGTGACTGCAAGAATTACTCTTGGGTTTTTTTCGGTAAAGTCACGTAGAAATAATAATAAAAAAGTTATGTAATAGCATAACGACGTTTCGATCGCAACACAAGCAATCATCATCAGGTAGAGGAAACACATAACCGCAGATATATATACAGACCTTAAGTAGGGGGAATTAACACAGATATACCAGGGGACACAGAGACGGAACATCACACTAAATCAAACAGGGTTTAGCACAATTTGGAAACTATATAACGCAACACAAACGGTCGGTTAAACCATGCGTTAACTGTGTTTTAACCGACCGTTTGTGTTGCGTTATAGTTTCCAAATTTTGCTAAACCCTGTTTGATTTAGTGTGATGTTCCGTCTCTCTGTATCCCCTGGTATATCTGCGTTAATTCCCCCTACTTAAGGTCTGTATATATATTTGCGGTTATGTGTTTCCTCTACCTGATGATGATTGCTTGTGTTGCGATCGAAACGTCGTATGCTATTATATAATTTTTTCATTATTTCTACGTGACTTTACCAAAAAAACAAAGAGTAATTCCTGCAAATCAACGTTTTATTAAGGCGAATGACCAAATCACCCTGACTGCTACGTGATCTAAGCAGAGTTGAGCCTGGATCACCATGCATGTTAACCAACAGCTCACGAAGTTAACCTCTGTGAGGTTAAGTACAGGCGGAATTGTGAGCTCTGATATGTTAACATTTATCTAAAACGACAGTCACACAGTGGACAAATACCGCACTGGTCGGATACACAATGTAACATGTCATAAAATAACGGGACCTAAGTATTTGGGTGGGAAAGTGAGCAGTGGGGGTCTTGTAATAGAAGCTGAAGGCCAAAGGGGGGGGGGTACTTTTACATTCGGGGAAGGGGGCTTACGCTGTGACATGTCACAGCACAATCTATTTGTTAAAATAAAGCGTTTTCCATTGCATGCATCATTGCAAAATTAACACATTCATACATGCACGAAGCTTAAATGCCGAAAGTACCTTTGGTAGTTGGAGGACTGAGGGTTGGTGGTAATCGACTGTTGTATTTACTCTAATAAGAATGCATGACTTGTTTTCCCCATCAGAGCTTGAACACAATGAAAGCAATCTACAGACTGAAGACATCAATGTGAGTTAATATGAATTAATATACATTGGTTTCTATGAAGCACCAGCTAATTTTCAACACTTGACATCCATTCTTGGTGGCTGACTAATCACAGCTATCCACTTCTGCATGCAGCCAATGTGTTCATGCTGCCTTGCAGTACGTTCTGCAAATTACCAAAAGCGTTGGAGAGCTTCAGAGTGGACCCATTCGTGCCAGTATTATAGCTATATAAATAAATACAAATCACAACTTTTAAAGCAATCCATAATGATTACAGAAAATAACCCTTTGGAACTTAAGATCAGGTTTTCCCGATTTCATATGGGGCAAAACTACGGATCCACAGGATGTTCTGTCCACCCAGCAGTTTTAATGGGTACGTCGCAAGCCATCTGGCAGGTCACGTACGGTGGGGTAGAAGTTAGAGTACTCCCACCTTTATAGGAACTCTGTAAATCAAGAAATTGCAGGGTTGCACCGTGACCATCCTTTAATCCATCGGTGTCAGCTCGGTGGGTTCAGAAGTGGATGGTCAACGTGTCAACACTTCCTCTTGGCACAAGCTCTCGTGTTGCTCTCCCGTGCTTAGTTGGGTGCACTCCGTAGTGATTATAAAGCTAACACTGAAGTGTGGTACTTTCAAAATAATAACGTGCATTTTAATTGACCTCATGATATTGTTTGCCACTCTGAGAAGATGAAACACGATAGCCTAACTACTTTGACCTTTTCTTCCAGGTAAAAATAGTTCAAGCTCAGCATCTGCGATTTATCATTCGCTCCGCGTACGACCACTTCACGTCCGTTCATCGTGTGTCTGTGGCAGGAAACATCCAGCACAGATAAAACATATACATTTTATCACCCTTATGTATGCCAGCTGAATTCAATTTCACACACACGCAATATCTGACTGTGACCAAATCGCCCAGAACGAGAAGGTCAAAACAGAAGCGAATCCTATCATTCAACGATCCCTATCATTCAACATATTACACATTTTAAACGCGGGTCATTTATAACAGGTGTTTATTATATAACATGTTACAATACTGAATCTAAAATATTCATTCAATCAATATACAACACCGGTGCTCTGAAGACAATTGTACAAAATATATTATAATTTGGGTCAATTTCAGCTTGATGAGCGTGTTTTAATTACCATACAAACCGCGTCATAAAACTACTTAAGTGTTTCTATTAAAACAGACATGTATAACTAAATTAACAGTGACATACATCTAGACAACTTACACACATTTTGCATAAAAAAATATCCAGTGTAGGATGCCAGGGAAATATAGAAATGCTTTGTTGATTAGTTGTCCTTCGTTTTCACAGAGGTATAAATTAAGTCCACGTTCCGCATGCACATTCAGTCCATGTTGTACTTCGTGTCATTGACAAGATCAAAACATTAAGAGCTTAATAGAGATGGTTCCTCTGTAGGGTCACGTGTATGATATTGCAGTTTTTTTAATTAAAATTGCTGTCTATCTTAAGGCAAATAAACTTGCGTTAAAAAGGTAATTTACAAACGTATGTTGATTTTAAAATTAATTCTGCCAAACTGTAAACCATTGCATTTTTATTGTTTTTTAAGTATTTATGGAGATTTTAAAACAATAATGGATTGTCACTGAAATTAAAATCTAGCATATTCCTATATATTGCTTTTAAGGATTGTATATGCTCCATTAAAAAACCCCCTCAAATTAATATTAATATCTTTCTTATTGAAATCCTTGAAAATGTTAAGACGCTGAAGTTGAGGATGCACAATCACAACTAAAAAGTTCATCACAAGATTTACCAAGTCAAGGAATTGGAAGCTTTCCAAAATATATTTGGGAAAATAATTCCAGTGTTTTAGATAATTGCTTTCTTTAATAATGAATGAATGGTGGCAACTGATCAAACACAGTTATTTATGAAGTATATTTATAGGTTAACAACCATGATCATGTTACTTAAATTTTTCTAAAAATGTATTATTGCTAAAATTGTATTTTGGCTCCATTATAATTAATCCAACGTGGGGCTCTTCTAGAGCTTCCCTCCAGCAAAGGCCGTTTCACTCTCAGTGTTGTGAGCGAACAATATCTGAGATGCAGCTTTACCCTCTTATACTCCCAACGTGCACCAATCGGGATCCAGTTTGAGTCACACGTTCGTAAGATGTTTAGTTCACCTGACAAGAACCTTGGCATTAGAACCTGGAGGACAAGTTGCTCTCTGTTGGTGCGGTGTTGCGCAGCGACATTGCTGGGTTGCGCAGTGGGGTGGCCGGGTTGGCCAGGAAGCTCTGTGGTGTGCGACGTGACACGCTGCGCTGGCGAGACAGGAAGGAGCACTCCGTACCGCCCATGGCGGCCAGCCTCTCCTGCACAGACTGACGCTGCAGCCCCATGCCCTGTCACCAGAAAGAAAACCACATCACATCAGATCAACAATCATTACCAGCAGCTGGGCGCTGCTGCAACATGCCTGTCAACCGGACCTTTCGACGGGAGGGTTGGTGGGTCACACAAACTACGCGTGGGGCATGGAACACGCCATCACCTGGCTTACTAGGGTATTTATTTTTTATTCAGAGCAGCTGGATTCATTTCTATTTGTAAATCCAGCTGTACGGGGATTGGATGCACACACCTTCAGATTTGTGCGTTTTCTCCCACAACATCCCAATATAGGATCACAGAGCTTGGGTAATTGTTGGCGCTGGTTCTGGCTGCCTTCCTGCGCTTATGACTCATTCCCTTGCTCAGAGTAGACAAAAACTGTGTTACAAATGATAAATTACTGTTGTAATAAAATCATCACATCACCATCATTGTTTGATATCAACTTTATAGACCACAGAGCTTGGGCAATACTGTGCATATTACAAGTTGAAATGTATTATCAATACTGATCAGAGCAACATTGTGTCATCACTAAGAACCCTGCACTCGTTCTCTGCAATACCGATGTTTTTGTCTTGTTTTTGCGGTTGCTTCTACGCTCACGAAACTGCGAATATCCGTTGTAAAACAGCCAGGCAACCGGCTAAACGGGATCGTCATCTGTGGAAAAAACCAAACTCCAAAGTTACACAATTATGAGAATAGGGTTTTTCCCCTTTTTTCTGGAAACAAAACTGAAACCTTTTTTCCAAGGATTCATGTCTGCATTAACCACAATGCCTGCAGTGAAAATGCAAACAAGTGGTACCCCAAACTTTCGCAGCACAGGCGGGTGCGCTGCCGGTGCCGATCACTGTGCTACACCTTTCATCATGCTAAGTCCGCCAATCAAATGCTAATTTTTTTACGCTAATTCCTTTGTCAAGGCACCTTAATCCCTCTCACACAGCTTAAAGGTGCACTGCCGTGTGCTACACCTTTCATCATGCCAAGTCCGCCAAACAAATGCTAATTTTTACGCTAATTCCTTTGTCAAGGCACCTTAATCCCTCTCACACAGCTTAAAGGTCGTAGTCTGAGCTTGGCTCTGTTTCACTCCAGCGCAGTCTTCGAGACAGACTGGTCCCTTCACCTGATGAAGGCCGCCTGTGTTGTGGCCGAAACGTCGTGATTTTTGTTTTATTTTTTTACCTACGTGACTTTACCGAATAGAACCAAAGAGTATAAAAACATACTATGATAATATATGCATTGTCCTTGAAACTGATTGGTCCACACCAAGGGACAGCTTTATTTTGAGCCTCGACCCAATTGATCGAGCACCAATTGGGTCTAGGCGCAAATTTGGTCGAGCGCCAATTGGGTCGAGGCTCAAAAGAAAGCCGTCCCTTGGTGTGGACCAATCAGTTTCAAGGACAATGCATATATTATCATAGTATGTTTTTTGTTTGCATTTTGACTGCAGGTATTGTGGTTAATGCAGACATGAATCCTTGTAAAAATGGTTCAGTTTTGTTGCCAGAAAAAAGGGAAAAAAACCCTATTCTTATATTTTGGTACTGGCAAAGGAGGTCTAATGATGTAGAGGTTCCACAATTATTTCGCGGAGTGTATGGCGGTGTCTCGGATCAATCCGTCGCGAGTGAAGCGCTTGATTTGGGAGCGATTTTAAACACGTCCAATATACTCGTGAGGGATCAAGCTAACAACAGGGACGACGTTGGTTGCAACGAGACAGCGGGAGACTCACCATGCTGTACCAAGCAGTCGTCATCAGCTTTTCCTCCTCCTGCTTTTGAGCCAGAATCTGCTCATTTTCCTTCTGAAAAGTCAAAAGGCCAAAAGGTGATCAGAACCTGCTGACATTTAAACTAGAATTGGCATTTAAGCGATATTGTGAAAGAAGGCTCAAATGTAATTCACTTGTCTTTTATTGCAGGCCAACGAGGGCATGGCAACAACAGGAATAACTAATGATGGTGACCTTAGACAAGAAGACCATAATGCATTCTTTCAGGAAGTTATGTTTTTTTGCATAATACACAAAGGCCCAAGTGAGTTTTCTGTTGTTTGAAACAGAAGGAACAACAAATTAACATTTTTTTAATTTTATTTTAACTTATAAAATAGCTGATAAACAATTGAACGGCCGTGCTCTCACCTGCAGTTGGTTCAACTGCCGCTCGCGCTCAAGCAGCTGCCCTCGGAGCGCTGCCATTTCTGGGCTCTGCTTGGGATCCATGGTGCGGATCACCTGATGCACAAACACACACACGCACAGACACACAGGTTCTTACAGCACACACACGTGCACAGGCAGGCATTGGGAATGGCTCTGGTGCCTCTTGGATAGGGGGGGAGGAGGCCAGTAGAGGAAACTGTAATTGTCATACGATCACTCTGACACTAATCTGCCTCAGCCGACTTTATCTGCACGGAATTCATTAACATTGATTGAATTGTGTTTGTGCAATAGTTTGTCTTTCTCATGGGACAGTTGTTTTTGCTCTGATTTGTATTTGCTTCATTGCAGTACTTTAATTCGTTCTTGCTTTTGTCATTTTGGTGACGCAGGCCAGTCTTGCGAATGAGACTCTTAACCTGGTCTCTTGAGTTCTCGCCCTGGTTACGGAAAAGAAACCTTGACACGTGTACAGAGCGCAACTGTGTAAGGTGGCTTGTGGCGAAGCGTCATGCTGGAGGCACTCACGAGCTTGGCCTTCTCCAGGTATCTCTTATAGCGCTCCTCCATGGAGCGCATGTCCTCGGTCTTCTTTCGCAGCAACGACTCCAGCTCCTCTTCACGCTCAGCTGAAACGGACAACGATGCCAATCACCACCACCGTGCCAAAGAGCCACGACCCACCGCAGTTGCTTGATTACCAACGGTAAATAACAAACGCACGTGGAGGTGGTGGCCTGGCAGCCGAAAGACCAGAATAATGAAGCCGGTTTCGCTGAGATCCCAGTGACGAACCGGACTCTAGCACTGTGTTAGTACCAGACTAGTGCTCTAAGTAGCCCCAATCCAAAATAACAAGGCAAGCTCGTGAGACCAATGCCCCATTAACTTGAGACCACTAGAAGCACTGACACTTGCGGTTGCGAATTTAATGATATTATGGTGATGTCATAATCGATGTCATAATCGATGTCATAATCGTGGTTATGACATCGAGTGGACGAGGGGTTGTCACCCGTGTCGCGATCCTGTGTGACCTGCGTCACCCCAGCATTGCCACTGGCGTAACGAGAGAAGACATGCAGCGCCGTGTATGTAAGGTCAGATTGGTTCAGCGCGCCACTATTAACGTTGATTAAATTAGTGTCATATTAAAGCAAATCTGACATTTTTCATTTGGGCTGCTTGTACTGCCCTGGCAGACAACCGTCTACCCTTGCCAAGGAAGTCGAGGGATCTTGTAGGCCTCATTTGCAAGACCACTCCAAACTGCACTGGACCCAGGTCGTCCTGTGTAGAGTGCCAAAGGGAGTTTTAGTTTTTATTTCAGCCCATAATAGGGTGCCCTGGTGGGCTGAGCAGCGTACAGGTTTTAGGAACCGGCGGCTGCTGGGGTTGCTCCTCTTGCGGCTCCTTGCGCCTAGATTCCTGCAACGTCTCCCTACACAGAGCAACGGGCGGGAAGGGGCACAAGGAAGTCACAGGGTCGTTTAAAATCGTGGGCATTTGTCACGATTGCAAATATTCAGTCGTAATGTGTAATAAAAAAAAATCACATGAAGTGGATTTTACCAAATATTTTTTTACCAGTCCAGTTGTAAAAGGTTTGCAATTATTGACTTATTGTGCCCCATGGGGCCAAGATAAGATCTTTACAGTGGTGGTTTGGTATTTGTTAATATTAAAGTTAAAGTTCACCTACAATGGCCTTTGACCTATAAGACCCAAACAAGTCTTCTTTTAAAAACATTTCCGAATTCAAATCTAGATTTCCGAATTATTATCGCTTAGGCCACAACCACAATTTGTGAAGCAAATTTGAAAGAGGAATAATGATGGGTCACCATCATCAGACATCGTCCTTCTACTGCTGGATTGAGGCCTCTCCATCCCATCACCCAGTAATGCCACAATCAAACCTACTTATGCAAACGAGGTGATCTCATGACTATATGAGCAGTCATCACTGTCCAGAGCTCCCCATTGGCTCTCATTCTGTCACCCGTCTCGTCCATCATCCTTAACAGTCAAAATTATGTCTCTAATTTGTTTTGGTTAAAAAAATTGCAATTTAGGCTTAAGATTCCAGAAGAAAATCAACAGCTTCAAATTAATGCATCGGTTATAAGACCGGAGTGCTTTGGGAATGTTCTACAGAAGCTGGCTATTATTGTAGGCCTCCTTTGGGTGTCACAACCTACCGATGTGCCCAGATTGGAAGCACATTCAGAGCTCTTTTGCCAATACACTGCTCATAGCGGATGTGTGCTGTATCAATGACAAAGACTCCCACAGCTGGTACACGTGGCAGGGGCAGTCGCTGTTTTACTCACCAAGAGCCAATGCAGCTCACTTTGGCTTCACTCAAAGAGCCGTGACAATATTTAAACTGGGCTAAACAGGATGGGGCTTCTTTAATGTCAATATTAACTTGTCCACAAGCTAGAACACAAACTTACAACCAACTAGGGCATCGCACTCCATCGCGTGTATTGTGGATCTGCGCTGAGCGACTCCAGCAGCGGTGATCGCTGGCCTAGCATCCACCGTACGAGTGTGGCAAGGGTCTTTAAGTATTCAGGCAAGATGTACATGTTCATAAGCATTTTTTTGGGATTACGTCGAGAAAATGTAAATGTGTCGTAAACTCGCCTCCACCCGACAAGGCCAATTGGTGAGGTTTGTCACGAGAACAAAATGTCCCAATTAGTTCATACTTCAGCCGCATCCGGTCGTGTGTACGAGAGTAAGCGCGCAAACATACAATTTTTAGATGGATCTGAGAACATGCAATCTCAGTAAAATTATATGAAAAAGCCTAGGCCTATACTTACACAATGGATAAGGCTATGCATTCACTGTCTGTTGTAAACTGTTTTCAGCAGTATTGGTGTGTGGCCGATGGGATGTCTCAAAAAAGCTACTTTAAATGTTTGTGTAGAAAGAGGGATAAGTTGAAGGAGGCACATTGCCTCATTGCTTATTTTGTTACATTCTCTACAACGACCAAAATTATTACGTTGTGTTCTGTGTTATATAGTTTTGCGTCGAGCTAGGACCCATATCTAACAGAGAGATGTGTTCCTTGCAGACAAACACCTGGCAGTTCACCAGCATTGGTTTAAGCAAAGCCAGACTCTTGTACTGGTATAATATATATAAATGCACCGTGTAAATTCAAACTCACAGTTGATGGTTCAGTTTCTTGTTGAGAGCAGTGGCCTAAGGAAAACAATCGGGCAGGTGAGACGTGGAGATTGTATTGAACATGACTGTTCAGTTTCAACAACTTGTAAGTGCCACCATATTTGTATATAGCAAGGCAACCCCCCCCCCCCCCCTTTATTATGGATAACATTGGTTGCGAAAGCCTACGTGTTATACTATATATAGCAAGGCATGTGTCAGCAGGTCACTTTAGTTTAGTTCACATTTGGCTGCCACTCCTTCATTAGTCTCGGCCTGATTTCACCACTACCATCTCCTCGGTGGATGGCCTCTCCTAGCGTTCCACTCCTTGGCTTCCATTCCCATCGTTGTCCTTGACCATCGGCCACCGTCATCCCTCCTAGCGACGTGTCCTGCCCAAGCCCACTTCTCAGCGGTCAAGATGACGTTTCTAACCTGCGTATATTTGTACGTTTCTCCAATCCGCGTGTTCCCCTTTCTGTCTCAAAGTGTAATTCCAAGCGCGTAACTCTCCCATGCTTCTTTGACCACTTTTCAACCTTTGTTCCATATTATGTCAACTTACAAGTTTTTAATCCACATAGCAAAAAAAAAGGACAAAGATTCTCCATATAGCCTTGAACAGACTGTTGGGGCAAGTGTTGTTAGCGAGTACCAGCACCTATGAAGGCCGGAATGGTACACGAGGGGGTGGGTGGCCAGTACCACGCTCGACTGCCTTTGTCTCCCCAGTGGCGATGTTTACATACCGCACCAGGTACTCATTTGAGGCCGAGGCGACCTAGGGGATGCCCAGGACTGGTTCAGATATTCGTCACTGGTGTTGGCCGTGAGCGGCAAATCGAACCCGGTTTGCCGGGTTCGTAGCGCTAACCACTAAACTACCGCTCCCCCGATCCACATAGCACAGCAAGTTGCACACCCACACACGGATGACGAATCTTTGATCTAATCGTTGTATATGGGTTACTGTGGCCCCCACCATTACGTAGTCAGTTTCAAAGACAATGCATATATTATAATATATAATATGATAATTATCAGAGCATGTTTGTTTGCACGTTCACCACAACTACTGTGTGTGGGTAATGCAGACTTGATGCCTTGCAAAAGTGTTTTTATTTGCTGTTTGAACATCTTAACAGCTCCTGTTTTATTGCCAGAAGAGTAAAACCTAAACTTATTTTTCACTATGTAGTCAGTGCGAGTGCTCGACAGCCCGGCCAGTCTGCCCCCTATGCTGCTTCTGTTTGCGTTTGGCTTCTCAACATTAATTTAAAGCCACGTCTGAAACTATTCCGAAGCGTCACAAATACATTGTTTACATAAATATATCTAGTTCGTATGATGTTTGAATGTTTTTGTCATTGTGCGGGCACCACACCGCGAGTGCAGCGTTAAACATCGTCAACTCCCACGTGTGGCTGGGCGATTCTACTCTCACGTACGATGGCAACGTGTCGAGGAGCTCAATGCCAATGTCTGCCAGCCGTAACGAGGGGCTTCACGAAAGTGTGCGTGGAGTTTTTCTATTCCTCCTCTGCTGAAGGAGCGCCGACCACGGTGGTATACAATCATGGCTCATAGTTTGGGTTGCATGGCCACAATCGCACTACTGTGGCTTGTCTTCAGTTTTCAATTTATGAAGGGGACGGGCGTATCGGCCTGGTGATGTTCTGGTGTGGTTGATGGTTACACCACCGGAGTCTTCGAGGAGGAATGTCAAAGCCAGGAGGTGCGATGTTCGGGTTTCGTATGATGTGTTTGTTTATTCTGGATGTTCGCATTGATAAAAGCAAGTAGATGGATGATGTAGTTAGAGGCTGAGCGAATGAGTGACTCACAGTGTGGCCGCAGAGCATGAAGAGCTCTATAGATACCCAACATCCCGATATTAGCGAGTGACCTCTGCGAGTCTGCTGTGCGGGTGAATAAGTAGCGAAGAGGGCGCAATGTTGCAAAGTCCAAGAGGCTCACGTTGTCGGCGCGTTCCACCTGCTCTGCCAGCGACGACTGGAGCTCTTCCACACGCGCCTGCAATGCGCTCACCTGCTCCCCTTGCAGCCTGTTCCACGCACGCCGCAAGCGCACGGGCCCAGGAGAACCATCCGGCCGAGCGCCGCACACGCAGCCACGCAGGACCGCACACAGTCAGGCGCACGCGCAGCCATGCGGACGCGCGTATTTAGCTATGCGTGTACAGCAGTGGTGGGGAAGCCTTTTCTTTTCGAGGGTCGAATAAACACGCACACTTCGGTTTCTCCTGTTGCTGCAAGAGGCTAAGATCAGAAAACACAGCCTTGTTGCCAGGTCGAAAAGGTCCACCCTCTTGCGCCTGTAGGTACCCCAACTCAGTGGATTGAGATGACGTCAGATGGTTGAATGATCAATGAGGCCACACGATTTCCCAACCTCTAAGCCCTCGCACGCCACCACGATTCGCATTTTGACATCTACCAAATCTCTGCCAGGTTAAAAATACCCCTCCTCCAGTACCCGATTAGTGCCGCCAAGATGCTTGCAGTGACGGATAGTTATTGTTTTGAGGGCCGTTTTGAAGCGGTGGGCCTCACGCGGCGACGGGCCGTACGAGACGACGTCAGGGGGCCGCATCGGACCCACGGGCCCCTTCTGACCCGGAGGCCGTAGGCTTTTTCCCCACCCCTGGCGCGGAGCCCCGTGGCGGACCCCCACCTGTTGTCGGCCTCCAGCTGGGCATGCCGGCACGCCGAGTCGGTGGCGAGGGCGCTCAGCGCGTCCGCCTGCTGCCTCTCCAGCTCCTCCAACCGGCGCGTCAACGCACGCTTCTCGCTCTGCAGCCCTGCCACCTGCTCCCTGGGCGTGAGGCAAGCGATTGGATGAGAGGCTGAGAGCAAGAGAGAGAACGTGCACTACTTTTCCTTTTTCATTGCTCATCATAATCATCATCAGCACCCACTGCTGGGTGAAGGCCTCCCCAAGAGATCTTATAAACACAACAATCCATCTAGCGCCCGCACATGGGCACAGCCGCCACCTCCGCGGCGGTGGCTGTGCCCTCCATTGGCTACTCATTACACTCTAACTTGTATGGGCAGCAGGGCAAAGAGCAAAGTATTTTTCCTCTGGATCTTCCTTCAGACAGCACACACGGCAGCAATGAACAAGTTAAAACTGCACCCCCATCCCGTGGAACTCCCTCCCCCCAGGCAACTCCTCCTGGTTCCCTCTGCTTATAAGCCTCTCCTCAAAACCTCTTTCTTCAACCTCGTGCCTTCAGATCCCCCATCGTTGCTTCTTTCCCCCCCCCCCCTCCTTTTGCACTGAGACTTTTGTTACACGATGGGACGCATTATAAATGTACGTTGTTGTTTTGCTTTTGTTGACTCGAGTTACGTCGCAAGCTTTCACCTATAACTCGCTAAGAGCCCAGTCTTGAACAACAATTAAAAAGGTGCTCTCGTCTGCGGTGCGATTTAATTATGTGTGCTCTGCGCTGGTCAACTGCATAGACCATCAACACCCACGCTCGTCAGCAGTGATGCGCTTTTTGTTTCCGATTTCTGCTGGCTTCGCCTTCGTCATTTTGGCGACCCAGGTCGCTCTTGCAAATCGCACTGTCGTGGACTATCTTGAGCTCTCACTTTGGTTAACCAAAATAAATTTGGAACTTTAACGGTTCCTCGAGAACCTCCCGGGCAAGTGGAGCGGAATGTCGGACACCGCGCCAAACGACACGGAACTCATCAAAGCTTGGCCGAGAAGGTCTCTCACCGACAAACTGCAGCGAGGACATTTTATTATTAAACAGCGTAGAAAGGAAAATAAAGGACGTGTGACATAAGAGAGGCAATCAGTGAAACTCACTGGACATCGAGTGGCAGGATTTCCCCAGCGAGACTGTCCCCAGGACCCATGGAACTGGCTGAGAAAGACAAAAAGTAACAGTAAACACGTTACATCTGGCAAGCTAAGCAGGGTTGCGCCTGGACAGTGCTTGGATGGGCAACCGCCATGCGTGAGAGGTGCTAGAGGCTGCGGAGCTACGTGGTTGGCAGCAGAGGGCAATGCAGCAAAATCCATTGTTGTGCCATACTACTATGCTCCCACATCTATGCTCACCTACTTCACAAACCCACACTAACAGCGCGGCAAAGTCGATTTATTTTTGGTAAGGCCCATGAAGCGATTTCAGTGGCGACCAGTACATAGTAACTCCCATGATCCACACAGTGTGGTGAATCGCTCATCCAGCAGTGGATTTACAAAGGGCTGTACATGTACTTATTCGTTAAGATGTTTAATCAGAGCACAGAGAGAGACAGTTGTTTCTCCACAGGCAAGTTGAAAAGATAATTACGATGACTGTGCAGTAAGCTTAAAAGTATTCACTCCCCACAGAGATTTTATGAATTGACGTAATTTGGGCATCATATTTATTCAAGAATGAATGCCATTTCGTTTCATTCTTACAATAATTTTTCGTCTCAATTGTATTTTAATTTGTTCCATCTCATGTAAATGTTTTGTTCTCCCCATTACCATAAATGTAACATCATCATCAGCCGCCCTGGAGTGGAGGTTTGCTAACAAAACTCTCCCGGTCCCCTGACGGCTTGCCGTTCCGAGATATTTATTTGTAGGCATTTGGGAACGAACCCGCCACTCGGGGGTTTAACCCCAGGGGACCGCGTGTTAAGCCCTTTCCGTCCAAACGCCCTGCGAGTGCCACCAAGGTTGGCGGAGCTCACAGGAGAGGCCCGGGTAAGGCTACAAAACCGGTAACTTTACACCGACGCACATAGTCTTGGTTATTTTGGCGGTTATTTCCTGGAAATGGGATGCTGGCCCGTTCTAACGAGAGTTCCACGCCACTCACCGGCCTGCGAGTGCAGCTGCGAGCAGTGCAGCTCATCGTTCTCCTCCCGTAGGGCATCCCGCTCCAGCACGAGGCGCTGCCCAGAGTGAAATAACAAAAAGCAATGAGCTGCGCGGGCTCCCCTCCCCCTCACGGCCACTCGTGATCCACGCGTGGCCTTCCGGGTGAGGCTCACATGGCTGTGCGGTTCCTTTGTATCGCTCTCGCTGCATCTCCGCAAACTTGCCTCTGAAAGGATCTCATTTTTTTGAAGACGTCAACGTCGTTAGAGCAAACGCGGCGAGACGGCGGAGGCTGCGCGGTCGCTGTCAGCGATGTGGAAGGAGACGGCTTTGAATGGGACTCGCATTCAAAATTAATAGCTGAACTATTAAATAAATGTAATATATATAGACTTATTTATCGAGGAAACCCAATAAATATTTTTCAGGAGGGTCCTGCAATTAGCTTTTTTTTAATTTGAATATGTTTTCAGCCAATTAACGAGTGTTTATTTTATAAGTGGGAGGAAACCGCATCACCCGGAGAAAACGCACACGTCCGAGAGGGCAAGACTATCCCCGTACAGATAGAAACAGATGGCGATTAGTCCACTTGCTGTACTGCCTTCTGGCAAGTCAGACGCCCACGGGAATGGAGTTTCACAACATTTGTGCGATCCGGCAACTGTCACTGCCTCCAAAGGCCAAAATAATTACGGACAAAATATAATTACATTTGGATGGCCAGTGTGAAACGGTGCTGCCACCGTTTGCCACAAACGAGTGTCGACCCTCTGAGCAGAGGTGCAATGGCATTTTCTGGTACTATGTGGATCCAACACAAAATAGAGACGTCAACAATTCACTTGGAAGATGGTCACTGTATCGCGCGCTTTCGGATGCGCTTCTGCGGCCGTCTGGAATGCTATTCATTCCGATATTAGGGAGCCAAAGGAACTATGCACTTTTAAATCTAGATTGAAAACTTATTTTTTTTTTAAACTGCTTTACGTAATAGGTTTTTTTTACCCTTTTTTCTGGCAACAAAACTGACACCTTTTTACAAGGAATCATGTTTGCATTAACCACAATACCTGCTGTTAGAATGCAAACAAAAATCAACTCTGATAATGTATGCATTGTCCTTGAAATTGATTGGTCCACACCAGGGACAGCTTTTCTTAGAGCCCAGTCTCACATGGTGTTGGACCAGATGACGCCAAAAGGCGCACAACTCAAAGACAACGCACTATCAGAGTATGAGGGCTCGGGGTAAGCATTAACATCATGAGGCCTCCTTTGCCAGTAGCAAAATATAATAGGTTTTTTACGCTTTTTTTCTGGCAACAAAACTGACGCCTTTTTACAAGGAATCATGTTTGCATTAACCAAAGGAGGCCTCATGATGTTACTGCTTTACGTGTTTAGTTTGTTGTCCTTCCCTTGTACCTCCAATTAGCGGAGTATGAGGGAGGAGGCCTTACCCCCTTCTCCTGCAGCAGGGCATCATGCTTCTCGCTCAGGCTCTTCAGCTCCAGCTCCGCTTGGTCAACGCGCCTCAACGCAATCTGCAGCTGAGACTGGAGCTCCATGGCCTAGGGGACGGGAGTCGGGGGTCAGGGGTCGTAGCGACCGCAGGCTGGCAGCACGGAGTTGTGAGCATGCCGCATAGAGACCGTGCCACGCTACAATACGAGCACGCTTGGTACAACGATGCCATGCAAAGAAAATGATTTTTTTTTTTACAATGAACAAAACCAACACGTATTTATGTTCTTGCATAGGGCAATAAGTGCTAGAAATGTTGTGAAATAAGCAGATATTTACCACATATTGCAGGGAACAACCTCCCCCCACTGATGTGGTCACAAAATAATTTGGTTCTCATGGCTCTAAGTGAAAAACCAAACTTTAGGATTTTTTTGTGCAGTTATTGGTGACCAAGGATAGACCAGCGACTCGATACGCTTTCAAATTTGATGCAATCACAAACAGCTGCCCAAATTCCAACCCATAATCTCCAGGGCGTCGGTTCCATGCTACGGCAAGGGCATCGATCCCCGCGCGAGTCATTCTGCCACTTTGAAAAGACCTTCAGGTGCAATCGCCGCATTTCTGTTAAGGTCTGATTCTGCGGGGTCCTCTCGAGACGACTGAAACCATAAAACAAAACAGCGAATGATGGAGCGCTGTGCCGGCTGCATCATCAGTCACAGCGCCTCATCATCGATAATTTCGTTTCACGTTCGTAGTCTCCGAAGCGTTATGACCGATGATGCGGCTATAGAAACTGTACAACAGCAGGAGACTAAAATGTGGGGTCGATGGTGCACGTAGCCCAGAGACGATCGTCGAATGGTGCCGTTGTTTGACAATCCAGTAACCAGAGGTGACCAGGTGGCTCAGAGGTCAGAGCGCCGGGTCGCCACCGATGAGTCTCCGGGGTTTAAATCCAGGCAGCTGCCTGTGATTAAACCGGGTTTCTCAAGTGTAGCGAGTTGATGGTTTCAGCACTGGTCACCAATCAAACCACAACAATCGTAAAAAAATTAATGTTTTCACTTAATTTGGCTAAATTCCAGCCCTGATAATTGAACATATGCATTTTATTGCCATGTGACATATATTACTGTCAGTGGCAGGGCAAGGGGGTTACCTATGCTGTGTGGACCAAGGATAATATTAAGGGATCTCGGAGGTAGTGCTGTGATATCAACTTCCACAGCCCATTCTCTACCACAGGGTTGTACTTTCTGCGTGAGCGATTCCGATTCTTGGCCTCGTAATGTGACACGCTGAAAGCGCAAACGCCGGTGAACTTGAGGAAAGACAATTTACTTATTTTCCTTGTCTTCTATCAAACACTTGCATGGACATCACAAGTAGTTCTGCGATATCTGCTTCGATGGACCATTATTAAAAACAATCAGCAGTCAGAGGCATTAGCTGCATGGAGGACAGCTGAGGACTACAGAGGAGGACGTTAACGGACGACACGAGGATGAGCGAGCGACGACCCAGGGGACGGCTCACCTGCGTGCGCGAGATCTCGAGCTGGGCACGTGTCGCGTTGGCCCGACGCAGCTCGTCCTCCAGGCCGAGCGCGCGCGTCAGCGACACCTCGTTCCTCTCCTCCAGCAGTCGCACCTGGCGCCTCAGCTCCCCTAGCTCCTCCAGGCGGCGCCTGTACGACTCCACCGTGCCCTCGAGCTGCGCCACACGGCTGGATGAGTGCCTGTCACGTGCGGAGATAGATAGAGAGCGAGGGAGAGCGAGGGAGGAGAGATGGCAGAACCAGGCGTGGCGCTGTAATTTTAAGGTAGTTTCTGGTGCAAATTTGTATACGCGAGCGGTGTGAATGATTTCCGTTAGTGCTGCGCACCTCAGGATGTCCATCTCGTCCTTGAGTATCTGCGTTTCCTCCACCAGCGAGGACATCTCCACGTTCTTCTCCTGCGCGTCCAGCAGCTCCCTGTGCAGCTGCTCGTTCTGTATGCGACACTCGTCCTTGGCAGCCTCGAGCCTGAAACGCGGGAGGGTTGTCAATTAAGAGCTGGTGGAACACCTGGGTCGTTAAAGTGGGTTTCCTTTTGCATTCACCATTAAATGGCATTAACCATATCCTCAAGTCAGCCACTACACACACGTGCCGCAGACGTCACGCGTTGGACGCGTGTGATAGTCGGCGACACGCAGCTCGGGTTCTGCAGCGGGGAAAAACCCCCTGGCGCGTCCTGAACCGTGCCAAGCTTTTACTCGGCACAGCCATGGGGGGGCTCGGTTGTAACGTGGGAAACGATGGTATGGGAGACATGCCGGGCTGCGCGTCCAAACACGCACACGAGGCACCCCGGATGGTAAACGCACCGGAAGTTCTCCTCTCGCAGCTCCTCCAGCTGGGCCTGCACGTGGAGGAGGCCCCGGCGGCTGGAGCTGCCCGGGCCCCCGTCGACGCAGTCCTCCCCGGCCTCCAGCATGTGCAGCCGTTCAACCAGCGCCTCGTTCTCGGCCAGCAGGGCGTTGCGCTCCTCCAGCAGAGCGGACGCCTGCGAAGGGGGCGGCCCGAGATTTAAAACTGGAGAGCCGTTGTCGCAGAGCGAATAAAATCGTTGGCACGTTCGTGCGGAAATTGGCGCAGTTCTCGATGCACAAGGCTAATCTCACTAATGTGCCACCGTTTTCACAGACGAGAGTTGTCTCTCTGTAATTTCAGAGCAAAGGGCTATGCTGCTTTGCGATTTTAAAACACCCCAAGTCAATTTGTGAGTGCACTTCCAACCTGAACAAACCGTGGACAGCAAGAACGGCACACGTGGCGCACTCTTTTACGCGTTCACGTTACGGGACGTTTAATGTCCGCTTGTGGATTTCCAGGCGTGCGCTACCAGTGCCCGGATGCGGAGACGTGAGCTTGAACACTTGTTATTAAGGGCCGGCGTGCGCCCGGAGAATTTGTTATTTTTCTTCATTCAGACCTGCTGATCGAGCACGTGGCAGCGTTGCGTGATCTCCGCCTTCTCCGCTTCCGTCTCCTGCAGAGCATCCGTTGACCTCTTCAGCTGCGAGGTCACGCGCAGAAAACGGGGGAAGCGCAGCGTCTCCAGTCAACCGCTCGTATTTCAGCACCAGGCAAAAAAAAAAAGAAATGGGGCTTGACAAATAACGTAACACGTTTAAACTGACAATTTAATTTTTCAAGGTTTGTTTGGTGGTGTTTTAAAAGGCAGTCTTGAGGTTTTGAATTATTAGATACTTAATTCAATAAATAAAACAGTGGCAGAAAAGTTAATCACAAGCGTAGGAATTAATAACACTGACAATTCCTACGATAATGAAAACAAAGCTTACGAATGCAACGTGCATGAGATTAAAATGATGCTTATCTCAGCCTGTCACGATTCAGCATTGCATGTGAAGTAGCCGGATGCTGCAGCGATGTAATGATTACCACACTGGACTTGCAATCCATACTCACAGGCCCTTTGGATTACACCCGTTGGGTCTCACATTAACATCACTAGCCCCGGCCACTTCTTTATGACGCTTGAGCTACACCCATTTAAAACCTTTAAAAACAGTCTGCCTCAGCAGCAGACCACGCTTTCCCACCTGATGATGGACGCTTGTGTTGCGCCCGAAACGTCACGATTTATTTGATTTTATACCTACGTGACTTTACCGAAAGAACCAAAGAGTATCCAGAGGTCTGTTCTAATTCAATCTCTTGGCACGGCAGTTGAAATGACTGTGCGATGTTAATTTTTTTTTATTCCATTCGACGCTCTGTCCACCCAGCAGTACGAATCGGTTTGCCGCAGTGAAGCGATCACCAGATCGCGTGTGGAGGAGTTAAAGTGCAGCTACTCCTCACCTCGTTCCTAGATGTCTGACCAGCGTGGAAGAGTAGGCCAAAATACCATAACTAGGGCTCCACTAGTGCTCCCTCTACCGATGGCCCTTCTGCCAGCAGAAGCATGACCAAGAAATGTCACGACTTCACCTTTAGCCATTGTATGGTATGAATAACAGCCGCTTGGGCAATAAAGTCAAAGCAGTGGTTCACTACGCTCGCTCGCTCACTCGCGCCATACCTCGTTCTCCAGGGCTTCCAGATCCGCAGCAGACATTGAAACCGACGGCCCCATTCCTTCTCGACTCAACAGCTGTTGAAACAGCACGCTCACTTCAACACTACCACAGTCATCATAACCAACCTTCATCTTACTTCACATTACTTGAATAACGCTTGCACGGCCCACCACCATGTACAGCACAGGTGCTATGTAGACTGCTGTGACGCTACGTGGTGGGCAGCAGAGGGCGGCGGTGCTCCTCATGTTCGCAACCCGCACCGGGCGGCCTGAACTCCGATCAAACAACTCTCATGACATGCACAGCATGTGGGGACGGGGGATGGGGCCTTCATCCAGTAGTGGATAGACAAAGGGTTGAAAATCAAATACATTTTCTAAGCGTGTGTTTTATACTGTGCCATGCAGGGCATTGCTTCTGCTGCAAGTTGCCACAAACGGGTAGCGAAATGATCGGCACACGCATTCGCTATGGAGCCGACGCGCCAACGGTTATCGCGTCATCTCCCCGTTAACTAAGCGCTCACCTCCTGTATCGCAGCCATCACCACGTGCTGAACCGACTCTTCCAGCTGCATGATGTTTTCAATGTGCTCTGTAAAAAAGATAAAGATCACCCGAATAGCCTTTGACAGACGAGTGAGGCAAGTGCTGTTTGCGAGCACCGATGAAGGCTGGGACGGCACACCTATGAGGGAGTGGTGTGGCTGGCACCCACGCCCGCCTGGCTGTTTTTGTCTCCTCAGTGCTGATGTTTACACACTGCACCAGGTACTCATTTAAGATTGAGTGGACCTAGGGGAGGCCCAGGACCGGTTCAGATATTCATGACCCATGTTGGCTAACGAGCGGGAATCGAACTCGGGTCGCCATGTTCGTAGCGCAGGGCGCTAACCACTGCCCCACCACTCTCCACACAACATACACAAAACCTAGGAGGCTAAGAGTTCCCAGTAGTCCATTGTCAGTAACACTGCGGCCTTAAAAGGAAAGATACATAATAGGTGACTTTTGGGCAAGAGAAGGGCCATTGCTTCAAATGTCACCCATTGTATATTTTTCCTTTTAAGGCCGCAGTGTTATTGACGAATGTGCTCATTATTGTGTAATTACGCACCACTGCTAATTCAGCGTCACCAAATAATGCGTCACTTGAGGATTTTATTGAACAATTCAGACAGGAGCTTCTGCTTTGCGGCCTCCATATTAACTATTCCCCACTGCACTGTTGTCCCGATTCACATTTCCCTACTAAACTTTCACGAGCTCTGCGAGTCAACCCGTAATGGGGGGCGGGGGCGGGGGGGGACGAAACTCCACTGAAGATGATCCAATAAGAACGAACCAGACACTTGGAGATGTGTTACTATTAGGGCACTTGCCCTATTGACGGACCGGCCACAATGATCAACCACGGGTGCCAGGTTAACCCGACGGTCGCTCGGACCGCGCGCGAACGCAAAGCACCTTGCTTGTTCTCGCAGTTGATGGCACAGCCCAGGACCAGCTGCAGGAGCCTGCCCATCTCCACGTGGTCGGCATGCTCCCCCACCGCCGCCACGTCTGGCACGCACGCCGGAGACACCTGCACGCCGAGCACCTGCACGCACACACACACACGTGCACACACACACACACGTGCACACACACACACACGTGCACACACACACACACGTGCACACACACACACACAAGTGCGCGCACACACACACGTGCACACGGTCGCACAGACACAGAAACCTCCCGTTTAGTCTTTGACAGACTGTTGGGGCCAGTGATGTTAGTGAGTAGCACCGATGATGGTCGGGACAGCGCACGAGACGGTGGGTGGCCAGCAATTTGCCCGACCGCCTTTGTCTTACCAGTGCTGATGCGCACTACACAGGTATTAATTTAAGGCAGAGTCGACCTAAGGGAGGCCCAGTTGAAATATTCGCCACCGTTATTGGTCGTGAGCGTGAATTGAATGCGCGCACGCACACGTACACACACACGTACACACACACACGCACAATTCTGCGGCAGTCCGGTTGTATGCATTCGTGAAACTAACTTGAAGCGAGGAGGGTGGCATGTCAGTAAGTATCAAGGATTCCAAGGTTGTCAGATAAATACTTTTTTCCAGTAAAGTTGCACAAACTGAGAGTTCAATCCCGTGTTTTTTTTTTTATGATGGGTTTGTGTGTCTGTCTTTATTCTTCGGCCCTCATCTCCTCAAGTAACATCGTAAGAAGAGAGACTTTCACCTCGCTGTAATAGTCTTGAATGCCTTGCAGAACTTTTTTCAGGTTGCTGACCTACGGATTCAATATAAAACGCATTAGTACAGTCTAGTGTAGCAATACCACTATATATGCATATATAACACAATGTATAGGCATGAAACACCATATGTAAATTACAAATAGTGTTGCAACTTCATGCATGTCTTCTATGTTTTTACTAAAAGTTAAGTGACATACACTTTGCCATATAAATGGGGGCAATATGCCTCATGATCGATTTGCCCATTGCAACCGAACATTGGCTAGAATAAGGATGTCTGGAGTACGCTTTCCCAATTGAGCATTACCTTGAAACTATAACTTGTGATTTAATAACGTTTTAAACTCAAACTGCACGTTCATCTCTTTTGTGCAATGATGAACATTACATGGGCACACCCGCAGTCAGTCAGCAGATCGCATATGACGGGGTACAGTGTGGGTAACTCCAAACTCTTCCAACGACGTCTGGCCTTCGTGGAAGAGTAGGCGAAAATACCCACTAGAAGGGCTCTCTCTAGAGTTCCATCCAGTGGAGGCCTTTCTGTTAGCAGTGGCCTGAGCAAGACAAAAAAATAATCACAAATAACTAAAATGTTAAATTTTGATTTAAAGCTTTCGTGACTGCAGTAATTCATATTCTTAGTTTTTTCGGTAAAGTCACGTTGAAGAGAAACAACAAAATAACAAAATATATATAAAACAATATATATATTTTTTATATATATTTTTATATATCTTCAACGTGACTTTACCGAAAAAACTAAGAATATGAACTAAAATGTTCTTGTTCTTCTGCTACGCAGCCGCCTGACGTCTCCACACCTTTAGCCGCCAGCTGTCCCCAACGTCCTTCCGTACGCGGGTGACCCAGGCGGCGTCAAACCACCCTGGGTCTCTGTCGAATCACAGGCATCGCAGCTCATTAATAATGAACTCCACTCTTGCTGCACGTTCACAAACACATCATAGTGCATGCTGCTTCTGGGCCCCACAGAAGCAGCAGATGCCAGTCTCCGATTTTCTCTCTCCGACCGAGTTCCAGATTTCATCGGAAGCCAGTGGGAGGAAACGGAGGATTGGCGAGACGTGGACACGTGTACTGGAGCGGGGTGACAAGCCTGACAGCGGCATTCGAAATCCGTCCGGAGGTGTGGGGTGCAGGATGCATCGAACAGAGAAAGTAGTCTAGGTGAAGAGTCTTCAAAGCAAGGAAAATAATTTAAATTACCAGCTCTCTCTCTCGTTCTCAAATTGTTTCAGATAGAGTACTGTCGATTCCTTCTCTCCAATCGAGAAATTTGGCAGAGGCAATTTGAGGAAGCCTTCATGCCCGAGTGACACTGCCCATATTCTGAATCATAACGAGACACAGCGTTCGGGATCGTTGTGTTTTGGGAAAGCTGGTGAATTTAACGTCCTCACTTTACCTCAAGGTCGTTTTGGAGTGGGGGGCATGCCCATCACTGAATGGAGGATTTGTAATGACTGCGGTTACCATTTCAATTGCGTCTGTTATTTTGTGATTGACAAACATAATTTAGCAAAACGTCATGCCAAGCTAAATGTGTTGTCAGTTTGCCACTTTCCTAAAGTCAATATAGTCGCTCTGTAATTAATTATGCTTCTTTCGTGCAGGTTAGCTCGAGATGGCAGTAACTTTGGTAGGCCTTCATCCAACAGTGGATTGACCGTGGCTGACGATAATCCATGCACACATGCCACGTAAAACAAACGATCCCATTCACACAACAGAGACACTTTTTTACTTGAAAAGTCTTACTACGTGCGGTGCAGCCCATTAAATGGTGGTTTGCAAAGCACTTAGCACACTTTAGTAATCCGAGTAGCCCAATTATTTTTTTCCATACAGATGTCAATATGTTCACGCGCTAAATGCCAATGTTGAGGTCTGCTGGCCACGGGAGGGCTTCGAGAGATAGTTAATTTAGTTTTGCTATTCCTCCTCCATTGAACGAGTAGCAGACTCCAGTGATTTACTGTACGGGTCCATTGTTTGGTTTGCATGGCCCACAACGGCACTGTGGCTTGTGTAGTCTGGTGGGTCGCAGGCTGGCCACCCAGCCACTTTGAACAAATCTCACACAGTCAAGCAATTCGCAAAAGCGACACGCGGCGCAAGCAGAGACGCTTACATTTTCTGGAGAACGTCGGACAGGACCACTCCATCTGCGAGATCCTCGACAGTGAGACATTGTTGGTTCTCGGTGAATGTTGTCACCTGCGGCAAAGCAAAAATGTCTTGACTGACGATCGAGTTTGCATGCCGCACTTTGCTGTCAACTCAACGAGATGACAGATATTCACGAATGAAATGACATTTCATCGCAGGATTCCCAACTCTAGCCCAAAGCTCAATAATTCCACCAGTTGACTTACTCCAGTACATCCCGAGAAAATGTTTCGTTGTAACGTTTTAATAAACATAGTGATATTATTCTGTCTTTTTTTTGTCGTAAAATAGCCAAGAAACTGGATAAACGGGACCATATTATAACAAATAAAATAAACTGATTATTTCTAAATTTTGATTTAAAGCTTTCGTGACTGCAGTAATTCATATTCTTAGTTTTTTCGGTAAAGTCACGTGACTTTACCGAAAAAACTAAGAATATGATGATTTCTAGTTACGTTTGTTTATGCAGGAAAGCCCGAGTCTCAAGACTCATCTTCAGCAGGGGGAGACATTGACATGTGCAATGCCAGTCATTATTGTTTGCATCGAGCTGCTTCGCCAATACCACAAAATGTGGCTTTTTTAGCTATGGGAGGAATCTGCAGGACCCGGAGGAAACCCATGCAGAACAGAGGGAGAACATACAAACTCAACAGAGAAAGGCACCCGAAACAGGAATCAAACCCAGGTGCTCCTTGCTGTGAGGCACAAGTGTTACCACTACACCATCCTGCCTCAACAGTTGAACCTGCAAAATATGTAGCTGATTTGGGACATCACACTACAGTTGAAAAGCAGCAAGAGTATATTGTTTTGAGAATATCATACATATACCTACCTGTCACACTCATTATTTTATTGCTTGCATTTATAAACTAGATATACAATAAAATAAACCACGACGTTTCTGGTGCAACACAAGCGTACGTCATCTGGTGACTTACCGAAAGAACCACAGAGTATGGATTCCTGCAGTCACGAAAGCTTCGAATCAAGATTTATAAACTGGCAACATTAATTCCCTAAACGATTTTCCATTTAATATATGACAAAAATGTAACAAAAAATTGCTTTGTTCAATTTCCCATCTTAGCATTAATAACCAATTTCAAAATGGTGTCAAGATGGAGATACACCAGTAACGTTGTCTTAAGCAAAGACCGACTTGAACTTGTTAAAAAATAAAACGAACTTCAAGCAGGATGAGTTATTAGTAGTGACGTTACTCAGAAGAAAAATGAATAACAGATGGAATAAAAATGAATAGATTAAATTGGGTATGGGTTAAATCCAGATAATCAGCATTTTATGATCCGATGACTAAACAGGATTCATGTCATTCATGAACCTGAGCCCCTACGTATAAACAGAGTTGAGGAACGAGTGGAGAAGGGTACACAATGGGATTGCAACGAAGCTGCCTCGTATGCAGAGGGGATTAATGCGTGTATGTGTGTGTACAGTACTGTATTATGCATACGTGCATACGTACACATTACTGCGTCAATATGCATTTACGTATGTATTGGCCTCGAATGTGCCGGTGGCAATGCCTGGGTAAGGGTTATTTGACATCATGTTGACAGGCTTGCTGAGAACCGTGTGGAACCCCCAGTGTGGCTTCAAGCAGAGGTGGGGGTCCCAGATTCACTTATTCTTGCAACAGCAGCAGAGATCAGAAATCAGAATATTTATTTATACTCGAGCAGGAATCCGATTAGCTATAAAGCTCTTTTGTACAGATGTCCAGTAGGGGCTAGTCAGAACGTGACAGCAGATGTAGTATGGGATTTCCTGGGATTTCCTAGGACTTACCTCTCCGCTGCACAGACCCCAGTCAGAGCCCCTATTAATTCATTGATGGGCAGATGGGTGTATAGTTGCGCAGTCAGAAGTGAAAGACAATTTCGATGCATGTGGACTTGTGTGTAAGGAAAATACTCCAGCTCCCACACTATTTTTGTTGTCGAATTCCTTGATTATGTTCTGTCCTTGTGGAAATTTTTTTTTATATGCAACCCTCATTAGAAGGCAGTCAACACCCTGAGCCAAAGTAAGTCCTCATGAAGATGATATCCCAGAACGACTTCTGAGATTCCTTTAAACGCCTCTTATTTACGCGAGAAGCACCGCATTTTCTAATGCTCCTTTCTACAGAGAAGTTAATCTCATGTGAGTCTACGTGATATTTATCAGTCCTCAGAACTTAAAATATTCCTAATTATGTGAACCAAATCGAATACGAAACACACAATATTAATTCCCGTCGTTGTGGAGAATATAAGCAACAAAATCAACAAGCAGGCAATGCATCTCCTTCACACGTCCGTTCCTCCACGAAATGAACAAGTGCTTGTTTTTGTTTTTACCCCCGTCAACCATAAGGCCTCGTGGGAATGTAACATCAGCATCATTCGCCATCGGCAGCAGTAGCAGCAAGAGGCAGCGTCAGCAGCAAAGACGGACGGTGACACGAGGCGATGGTGGTCAAGACAGACACCATCGTAGCAATGCGAGCAACGTGCTCTACGGGTTGCGACTGTGGATGCCCCGGGGGGATAGACAACACGGAGGGCTCGGCGCCATCCCCGCCCGCTCTGCCACGAAGGGCAATCATGCCCGTATCATCACGGACAAACCCGATGTTGATGTTGTTTTTACATTCCTAGAACCAGGAACAACACACGCGGGATAGTTTGTCGGCAGGTCGCGTGTGGCGGGGTAAAGTGTGGATATCCCTCCCCACCCCTGCCCATCACTACAAGAATAATGAATTTACGTCCCCACCGACCAGCGTGGTGAAGTATGGTCGAACACCGTCTGCGTCGTTCGCGAACCCGCTGCAAGGGCCTAGGCAGGAGGGGTGTCCTCATCATCCAGCAGTGGATTGGCGAATGTCAGCCCTAATCGCCAGCGATGGGGCCCCGTCAGATGTAGAAAGCGAAACGGCTCGGGCCTGGATCGGGTCTGGATGGGCGACCACCACCACCATCACGAGCAGCAGCAGGGGAGTGCAGTGCGGTCTGTCGTTGTGCTGCACTTCCTATGATCCCCGCCATCACCGAACCCACACTTGACCAGCGCGGTGAAGTATGGACAGGTCACGACCCACGCGCCGCGGGGATTGAGGCCCCCTTCATCCAGCAGTGGACAGACCACGGGCGGCACGCGATTCATGGCGAATTACAAATGCAAGGAGGGACATGAGTTTGAGGGAGCAGAATGACGATGAATGGCAAGGGGGTGAGGAAGACTGATGAGTACCAAGTGGGGATGAAGAGGAAGACTGATGAGTACCAAGTGAGGGTGATGAGGAAGACTGATGAGTACCAAGTGAGGGTGAAGAGGAAGACTGATGAGTACCAAGTGAGGATGAAGAGGAAGACTGATGAGTACCATGTGAGGGTGAAGAGGAAGACTGATGAGCACCAAGTGAGGGTGAAGAGGAAGACTGATGAGCACCAAGTGGGGATGAAGAGGAAGACTGATGAGCACCAAGTGGGGATGAAGAGGAAGACTGATGAGTACCAAGTGAGGGTGAAGAGGACGACTGATGAGTACCACGTGGGGATGAAGAGGAAGACTGATGAGCACCAAGTGGGGATGAAGAGGAAGACTGATGAGTACCATGTGAGGGTGATGAGGACGACTGATGAGCACCAAGTGAGGGTGAAGAGGAAGACTGATGAGTACCAAGTGAGGGTGAAGAGGAAGACTGATGAGTACCAAGTGAGGATGAAGAGGAAGACTGATGAGCACCAAGTGGGGATGAAGAGGAAGACTGATGAGCACCAAGTGAGGGTGAAGAGGAAGACTGATGAGCACCAAGTGGGGATGAAGAGGAAGACTGATGAGCACCAAGTGGGGATGAAGAGGAAGACTGATGAGTACCAAGTGAGGGTGAAGAGGACGACTGATGAGTACCACGTGGGGATGAAGAGGAAGACTGATGAGCACCAAGTGGGGATGAAGAGGAAGACTGATGAGTACCATGTGAGGGTGATGAGGACGACTGATGAGCACCAAGTGAGGGTGAAGAGGAAGACTGATGAGTACCAAGTGAGGGTGAAGAGGAAGACTGATGAGTACCATGTGAGGATGAAGAGGAAGACTGATGAGTACCAAGTGAGGGTGAAGAGGACGACTGATGAGTACCAAGTGGGGATGAAGAGGAAGACTGATGAGTACCAAGTGAGGATGAAGAGGAAGACTGATGAGCACCAAGTGAGGGTGAAGAGGAAGACTGATGAGCACCAAGTAAGGGTGAAGAGGAAGACTGATGAGTACCATGTGAGGGTGATGAGGATGAATAAATGATGAGCTGGAGGCTGTGCAAGATGAGAGAAATTCGAGGCGGGGGATGATGAAGAGGTTGGCGATGAGCGTGAGAATGAGGAGACTGTGGAGGTGACGATGAGGCCGAGCGAGCAGCAGGTGGCAGTGCCGCTGCTGCTGCTGCTGCGCCTCTCACCCAGACGAGGAGGCTGCAGCACAGCTCCGGGTTGACGGCCTCCATGAGTGGCGCGGTGCCTCCTCCTCCTCCTCGCACTCCGCTGGGACTCGGGCTGGAGCGGGAGCCGTGGTGAGGTGAGCGAGGTGAGGTGAGCTGAGTGAGGTGAGCTGAGCGAGGTGAGCTGAGCTGAGCTGAGCGAGGTAGGCGAGGTGAGGGACACGGCGATCCAGGCGCCACCGACTCGATCACTGCGCACCTGGGCGCACACGGGTGGAGGAAGGTGATGATGAGGAGGAGGCGGGACTCACCTGCGCGTGCGTCAGTTCACCTGTGCGCAACTTCCTCAAGAGCGCAGCACTGCGCATGCGCCAAGGTGCGCGCGGCACCAGGTGGGGGCAGGTGGGGGCACGTGGGGGCGAGCGGTGGTGCAGTGGTTGGCGCACGGCACGCGTTTTATTTCTGGAACTCGCCAACTACTCGAGCATATTTTGCCCATGCGCTGTAAAAGAAGGATAGCCATTGCCCGAAACGTCGTCTATTATTATGTTTTAATTTTAAGGCCACGGTGTTATTGACGGATGTTTTGAGTTAATGTTTAAATATGGAACGTCCGCGATTAATTGGTAAGGCCAACGTGGAAACACATTGGCCTTGCCAATTAATCCCGGACGTTCCATCGTACGTCTTCCGTTGTTGTGTTTGCTTATCACAGGACAACCTTACAGGTGTCCAACCCTGATTAATCAACAGAGGAGACGCCCCGCCCCCCAACCTGTTTACAAACAACAAAGTACAGTTAGCCAAGGTGACTGCCACAGACCTTAATTTGGCCAACTCAGGAGTTGGATGTTGCCGTGATGTAATGGGTTAGAAAACTGGACCTGCCATCCAGAGGGCGGGCGTACACGTTCGATCTCCCTGCGCGGTAGTTGAAATAATGCGACAGGTTTTTCTTGAATCCCACCGCCTCTGTCCTTCCACAAGTTCACATCTTCGTGTCACGTGTGGTGGGGTCAAGTGTGGGGCGCTCCCACCTCGGGCAAGAGGTCTGGCCCCCCTGCGTGGAAGAGTAGGCGTAAATACACCCCCACAGCAGTGGCGTGAGCAAGTGATTGCAGGCGGTGCCGGATTAAGCTCGTGCGGGGCCTGTAGCACATGTTGTACTGGTAGGAACCTCCTGGTTACACCAGCTCACAGGGGATTATTGTGTCCGTCCGTCCGTCGTGCATCCAAAAATGGGAGGGGTGGGGCTGGGTGGAGAGGGGAGGGTGGAGAGGGATGGGCTGGGTGGGGAGGGTGGGGCTGGGTGGGGAGGGAGGGGCTGGGTGGGGGGTGGGGCTGGGTAGGGAGGGGCTGGTCACCCCGTGGTGCCCTTATAAAACTCAACGTTTAACCTACTCACGCCGGCTTGTGCCCACCCTCACAGTCGGGCATATTTGCGGAATGCACCACGTCGCCGTTGACCCTGGCCATTGACCGAGCAACCCAACGTTCCTACCAACTCCCTCCGCAGGAATGTGTTTATAAAGGGGCCCTAAATAAAAAAATAAACACTAATTTTTAAGTAGCAAAATATGAGAATACGTTTTCCACTTTTTTCTGGCAACAAAACAGGTGTTAAGATGTTAAAACACCAAACTGAAACCTTTTACAAGGAATCATGTCTGCATTTACCACAATACTTGTGGTCAGAATGCAAACAAAAAACATACTCTGATAATATATGCATCGATAGCTTGAAAGCATTTAGCGCGGGGCCCTTGAAAGTGCGGGGCCCGTAGCTACTACATGTGCAGCAGCTACTTTAGCTCCGAGGAAAATTCCGCACTGATTGCAGGGCATCGCGCCTGTACCTGTGAAACGCGCCTTTTGGGCGATGGAAAATTACTGGAGAATGTTAGGGCCTCTAGCGACCCCTCGTGGCGACAACAAGAAATACCCCGGCATCGTTCGAGAGCCAAACACGTGGAGCAACCTCCACGTGGCTTTGACATTTCATTGTGCGAATGAGACACATTCCTGAGCGTCCTCGACGCCTCTCACCTTGGTCAAACAAAGTACAAAGCTGAACACTTGAAACGTGGCTCGCGGAGCCCAACACAACTGAACGAATGTTACTAATAAATGTTGCTCGTCTCTCAAAGCATGTGTAGCTTTTACAGGAACGTCTGTCTATAATACGATATATATAAAAATAAAAGTTTCGCTGGCTGGCTGGAGGGACGGATGGCCAGACGATCACGTCCAAAGGATATACGGTTGTTAATTGGATGAAAAATAAATAAAAAAACAGACAGAAGTTCAATCGTCTCAATGACGATGTAATCGTTGAACACCTGCACCTATAATATTTGGAGTTTGCATGTCTCTCTCTCCCCGGGGTCGCGTGGATTTATTCTCCAGGTCCTCCGGGTTTTCCCTCCACATTTGTAAACATGCGTTTCGACTATTTAGATAATTTTGCTGCTATAAATGTCCAAAGGATAGGCCACTTTGTTGAGCTATCATTTGTGGCCAGGTCGCTTTTGAACAATAAGTTCATACCTCAGTGGGCTTTGTCTGGTAGGATGGTTTAGTTTTATTTGTTCGTCTTTGGGTGATTTACTTACCTTTCCTGTACTTTGCAATGCTATCGTGTTTTTTCTATTGTTTGTTGTTGTAACGTTCTTACCCACCCCGACTGGATATCTGTGAACAAAAAGCTTATATAGTTCATCGGATTCCTCCAGTATTATTACAGATTCTGATTCTGATATCGCTCATGTAAAGTGCAGTAAGGGCATGATGGGCGGACCGACTGCCCTCCTACACGTGTGAGAGGACGAGGCGGCTGTGTGGGCTGAAGTCCACTCATCAAAGAACATCTCGTCTTGTCTTTTCTTATCCTGATGATGATGATGATGCTTGGAGAGCCGAATGGAGCTCACAAGAAGTAACAAACAAAGAGCCGATGATGCAGAAGAACTCTGGCTTCGATTCTTCTGGGCTGCAACAAATCTGAAACTTATCCCTGGTGTCCAGATGCCACAGCCGTAACGAGGAGGGCATCTCCATCAAGAGTTGCAGGGCCCCACTTTTTAACATTCCACTCTGATGGGATCGGCCAAACATGTCAGTGCAGGAACCTCCTGACAAAGGAGTTTGGGAGTCAGTGAGGTCTAATTCCTTGGACGAACAAAATGGCAATAATTTGAAATGCCTGCTTCAATAAGTTTTAAGCCGCATAATTTGAGTAACATCGTGCAATATCGAATCTGGCAACATAAAACTAAATATTAAAAGTGTTGTGCCAATATGTTTGTAGACGATCTCCCCTCTTTCGCCCCACCACCTCTCTCCTCCCCACCCGGTCCCCCACTCCGCACGTCCTCAACTGGAAACGGAGAATGAAACAAGTCAAGCGGGATTGAAATCGAGCCGTATACGTGGGCGTGCTGTGTGTACCTCCATTGTTGTCCAGGGATATAAATATACCCCCGTCCAATGAACACGCGGGCCGTTGAGAAGTGTCGCTTCATTCACCCGTTCTGTCTAAATTACGAGAGCACGCGTTCTGTTGGGATGTTACACCAGCACACGTTTCACATTTTATTCCATTATATTGCCCCTGGCAGCAATTGTGTTCAGGGGCTCTGTTGGCCACGACGAGAGGGCTTCAGGGGAGAGAGAGTTCGCGTGCTTTTGCTGTCTCTCCATTGAAGGAGCGCAGACTTGAGTGGTGCGCAGGGCTGCATTGTCCACGGTTTGAGTTGCGAGGCTTCGCGAGTTACTCTCTGATGCCGCAGCTCATCCGGATTGCGACACGGGCGTGAGCGTCGGGCACAATCTATGCAGAGGGTTTAAAAATGGAAAATACGATTTTTGCAGCGTTGTTTTGGTGTTAAACAAGGGCTGAGATACCGCTATCGCGAGCATAATCAGCATCGCTCTTGAACATCACGACACATGCCGTATTCTACCGGACTATAAGACGCATTACCCCCTTTTGTTTTACATCAAAAGTTGGGGGTGCGTCGTATAATCCGGTGGGTCTGTCTGTGTGATCAGGTTCGTGTTATTCTATCGACACAAGTCACAAGCTTTAAGGGATGGGTGCGTCTTACTTTCTGGAATATCTTATAATGGTGATAATTTTGTGTATAGCAAGCCAACATTTCATAAAAACGACTCTTAATCCAAACGGAGAACATTGTGAATATTTCACATTGATATACAGTAGGGTCATATTCGTTGTTATTAGACTTTTTACGAGTAACTTGTTGGAGGATTAGGATGATGGTTGCTGGGAATACTTGGTGATAGCCCAAGCCAGTATTTTCCAATGGCTCTGTGCACACTGGATCGTATTACAGAGCCGCGTCCATGCTGTTGCCGAGGCCAATGTTACGCTGCTGCTGCTTAGATGTGTCTGTGTGTTAGTGTGGGCTGGAGCAATAGTGTAGCTGTTAGGGGCGCACTGCGCTACGAACTCGGCCACCCAAGTTCGATTCCCGCTCACGGCCACCTACACAAGTAACGACTATCTGATACCGCTATTGTGGCCTCCACTATGTCGACTCGGCCTCAAATGAGTACCTGATGCGGTGCGTAAACATTGCCACTGGGGAGACAACGGCGGTCGGGCGTGGTGCTGGCCACCCACCACCTCGTGTACCGTGCTGCAAACTGCACTTGCCCCAAAAGTGTGATGAGGCTGTAAGGGGGATCTTCGTCTTGTGTGCCGCCGTCTCTGTGGATGTGAGATTGAGTGTCTCTAATTATAGCCCAATTGAATGTGTATTGTTTGCTTAAAGAATAAAGCAGAGATTTGCACCGGCACATTAGACGCATTAGTTTGTGGTGATGCTACTGCCGCGTGGGCAGTGGTTAACAAACACAATATTCGTAAATAACTGTGACCTTAAAGAAAATAAATAATATGCTGACATTTCGGGTAATTAACGTTTTTCTTTGCTTTATTTTTTGCGCCATGTTACAGTTTAAAAATCAGTCTTTTTAGAATTTCAGGATCCTCCTGACCTGGTGTCGTAGCGAGGATTTGACGCTGGAGTTGTGGAAATCCCTTTGCAGGGTTGACGTTAATGAGGAAAGGCGCAACCAGCAGCTCTGTCAATGCCTCTGCCAAGTGAACAATGAGCAGAGGCAGTAGACCAAAACGGGCAAACAGTTGCGAACTATTTGCTTCCTCCGGGGAGTGTAGGAAAGTGAGCTGTCACGTAGCGCTGTTGGTATTTTTGGAGTACTTTTGGAGTGCTGCTGTGGGGCACCGCGGTGGCAGGATGTGAATTACCTCGCCTGGAATGCAGGAGATCGTGGGTTTGATTCCGACGCTGAGGCCTGTTGTGTATTT